ATAAAGCTCTAAATAATCTTTCCAGAACTGCAGAAGATTTCTGCTACAGTCCCAAGTAAGATTCATTTCTTTCAGTGTACTGTCTGCTTTTCGGTGTAATTTCAGGTGTAAAATCATTTGTGTCAGGCCGACAGACCCAGTGCTTCCCCTAAAATTTCGCAAACAAACAGATCGACAAACAAACAAACCTGCGGAGGGCAAGGCAAACAAAATCAAATTGTTGCTGTTTGTTGACCTATGCACTCCACCCCCTGCCACTCCCATTATCAAGGAGTCCCCCAGCCCCCTTCGGACTGGATCCTTATTTGTTTTCATTTTCATTTCTTGGCAAAAGATTGCAGGAGAAGGGGAGGCGGGGGAGAAAAGCGAAGGCGAAACGCTTTTCGGTTGCAAGGTGTCTGGGGAAATTAACAAAGCCGCAGGTGCAGTGCCCTACGCTGAAGGAGGGTGCCTTTCAAGGCCTGTCCTCGGTTGATTTTTAATGAAATATGAATGGGGGCATGAACATTTTGAACAGCAAGCGCCACAAGCCAACGAACTTGCCGCCAGAATCTCCGGCTGAACATCACGCATACGCAACGTTGAGCAGCGGAACAATAAATTCCATTCCTTAACCCTTTTTTTTGTTTTTGCCCAGTTAATTATCACAAGCGAGTGCACAGCTAATTGGAGTTTAACCTTTCTGCCGCCGCGATACTTTTGGCATTTTTATTTATTCACCCTCGCCGGTGGAATAATAATTTAAACCTTCAGGGATTTTTCTTAGCTTCCTGGTACAAATACCTGCATAAAACGGACCACTTAGCCGCCTTTTTTCTAATTGCCAAAGCTTCGATTTTATATTGTCAACGGTCTGCTTAGTCTCTCTCGTCAGTTGGCAAATATTTTTTGGCACGCCATTTCTGGCTACATAAATTTAAATTGAATTTTAAAAATTCAGAAGCCCAAGGAACACCTCCGAAAATGTTTGCGTGGGTGTGCGGGTGTGCCTAATAAAACGTTTGCTTTGCCATCGATTTTTGGCTTGTTGGCTCCGCATTCCCGTTCCGAGTTTATAAATATTTATGCTTGGCGCTTTTTGGGGCGTTTGCTGGGTTGACAGCGATGACTAGATGGATGGGATGTGGTAACTATAAGTTAATGCGAATAGAATCGGAAAACAAGGGAGTGAGTGATTGATAGAGTCCTGCGGTCAAATCTCTTCAGGGTTTCCAGAACGTTAATGGAACTACAATCAAAAAAGCATATACTGTCTATGATTTCAGTTGATAATTGGAAGTCTTGGAAACAAAAAATGGTTTAAAAATATTTAACAGCTTTTCGGAATATATTCAAATTGAAAAATATATTTTACAAACCTTAAAAATTATTTACTTTAATAGGATAAATAAAATATTTCTCAGGAACTTGCAACAAATTAAAAAGGGGGAAACATTTTCTGGTTTATATATAATATCATCAGGTCATCAAATTCATTTAATTTTACATAATACCAAATGGCAGATTTTATAAACATTTTTAAGACACAATGAAATTCTTAACCAGTAAATTAGATAGTATTAAATAATTTTATTTTAAAGCCACATCTCCTGTTCCTAAACCACATTCGCTAGTTGATTTATTGCCAGCTCTTCTTTTAAAGCTCATCAAATAGCACCACCCACGAATTCTCGTTTCCACCGGCGGCAACTCATCAATTTTTGAACAACTCCGACAGCCAAAAACGACTTTTGGGCGCTTCAAATAACCAACTGGCAGTCAACAGTCAGCAGAGCAACTACAACAATTACTAAACGACACATGTAACGTGAACCGTGGCTTAATTACCTGCCGCAAGCTGTTGCCACTAACAACATATGTATTTTTGGCCAGAACCCTGGAAAATTAAGGGGTCCAACCCCGACCCCAGTCGAGGGATAGATAGAGGATGGAGGTCCTAGGAGATCAGGACCCAATTCAATTAAATTGTCACAAGCCACAGAATGAGTGACTTGGATTTATAGTCCAATTAATTGGAGCGACGTCAACGCAAATGCAAAGTTAAATGATTGCAAATGCTTGTCCGCGTCGATAAGACGGATATGCTGGTTGGCTGGTTGGATGGCAACGTGCAGGCAAATTTGTTAACAAAAAAGGATTTTCATGTCGAGATTTGCCAGCATCCAACCGCCACGCACAAAAAAAAAAAAAATACCAAAATAAAGAAGAATTCAAGGAAGGGAAAGTAATTTAAATTTGTAAATCGATAGGCTTGACGGTCGCCGAACCCTTTTTTTTGTTGGTTTGTTTGTTGGTTTTCTCTTTTCTTTTTTTTTTTTTTTTTGTACGTGCTGTTGTTCCCATTTAAATTTTATAAATATTTTAACTTAATAGATGCCAGGCGAGCGGTTGCCCACGGCGCCTAGAAGTCCCAGAATTTGCATAAACTAAACAGGAGCACGGCCTCCACTCCTTTTTTTATTTTTTGGTTTTCGGCTGCCACTCAAGTGTTCAAGTGTTCTCTATTTTCAACTCACGGCTGTCCTTTTTGTGAGCCTCGACAAACATTCTCGAGTTGGCTGACGGAGGAGCCGCGGGCGTGTTTTCCAACCCCTTTTCCTTCTCCTTTTCCTTTTCCCCGGCTTACAGGTGGAATTTTCTTTCGGCTGGAGGTCCTTACAGCGGCTTTAACGGCTAATGGTAGTTGAATCGGTGCTGGGCTCCGGATTTGGGATGGATATTGAACGGGAAACGGTGGAAAATGCTAAAGCGATGGTTGGGAAAACAAATCGATAAAGAAAACGAGTTAAGATTAGTAATAACCGAGTTTAAAGATATATGTTACATTAAAGAAATTTTTATTTAAGTTACAAAGAAAAATTTTGAAAAAGATAATTACGAAGTTTATTTTTTTATAAATATTAAATCCAGATAATATGAAGTCACGACTTTTATTCCATATTATATAAATATGTTTTGCTATATTCTATGTATCAAACATCTATTTATTTTTATTCCATATTATATAAATATGTTTTGCTATATTCTATGTATCAAATATCTATAATAACATTGCTTGCTATTAGTAATATTCGTATATACCTTTAGGTTAGAAGAGTTTATAATCCTAAATAATAAAATATTGTCTTTAAATAAGTATGATAAATAAAGACATCTAATAGATTTTTGTTTTCAATTTTCACTTTTTTCCTCACTTTGGAGTCCTCGGTGATTCGTTTCATTGACCCAACATGCAAATTGACTGCGAAACAAACTGGCGAAGAGCCATCTCGCCACCCAAATAGACACGGCAAAAGTTCTACAATCGTATAAAAAACGAAATCAGAAGTCCCACACACACACACACATATATATAACACACACACTCTCACACTGAAATCAATGAGCCCCGCACAATTTATGGCTGAACATATCCTATATGCCATCTGCCTGTTCTTTTTGCCGCTTTTCGCTATAAATTATTCCCCTCGAAGGGCGAGTAAAAAGTCGGCAGATACAACACACCACCTCATCCCCTACCTCATCACCCACCTCCGCCTCCTTGCAAACATAAAATATTACACATGAGTGGCTTTTATGCAAAGAAGCTGGAAGCGAGAAATGTGGCAGGGGCAGTGGGCGTGGCAGTGGCAGAAGACACGCCTCCCCCAGACACTTTAAACTTGGCTAAGCAACAAGTTGGACGAAGGGCTTTCTCCACTTTCCACTTTCTCCACCGAACGGAAGAGCGGGAAAAGCGGGAAGAACGGGAAGAATTATTGCGTTGCGGGAAACTTAAAGAGCCAGCGGAAATTGTTGCCGCCTTTTAGGCCGACGACCTGGGAATGATTTATGGTCCGCATCCTGCAGGACGAGCGGCTTATCCCGGCGGGGAAAGTACAAATCTCTGGCCACCCGTTCCGAATGCGAGTGAAAATGGTGTGTGGTTCGCTCGCTCATTAACAATTCATTAAACGCCCCACGAAAATTAAACGCTAAGCTAAACAGGGCCAATTTATCCGTGGCACACAGGATGCCAAAATTCGTTTTCATATGTGGTTGTTAAATATAAATATGTCCCTGGAAAAGTATTCTTATTAGTGGGGTTACTAAAAATCAAGTTTATACAGAACTGGTGAAGAAATAAATAGAAGTTAAGTGGAAATTATTCTTGAGGTAGCTCAAGGTAGTTTAAAAGCTGAGATTAATATACATTTCAATGTAATAAACAAACAATAATAAATATGAATCGGTTTTTTGAATCAAGTTATTCAACGTTTTGTGGTAAATAAAACATTTCATATTAAATCAAAGAGCGTTTAAAAGACAATCAATTTTTATCCACCCAAAAGACCGCAATTGAATTTGTTAAATTTAATATGTGCAATTATGCCTATGACTATTTAATGAGCCTGGTGTTTGGTTAACAAAAGGCAAACACAAACGGGAGGAAAAACAATCAATAAATAATTTCCGCAACAAGTTCTGATGACAATTTCATTGGCTGTGACAGTTACGGTTGGGGTTTTATATTTTCCATGTAATATTTCCCATTTAAATTATGTTAATTATTCATGAGCACGAAATTAGCCGTGAGAAAAAACGGGCAGAAGAATTTAGCTGAAAAACAGAACGAAACCCAAACTGAGCGAATTTCAAGAACCCTCGAGAAGTACTTCCGTACGTTTCGACGGCCCAAGAAATTAACACCTCAAAAATATATATACGTATATTTAGAGCTACGAGAAAACGTTATAAAAATAAGTGAAATAAAAGTGAGGTGCTGAAAGGTCAAGACGACGAACGAGGGCCAAAAGCTGGGCCACTTGACATTGCCCAAAGCAAAACTGAAGCAAAACTGAGGCAAGGCGAAGCCCCCAGAAGAGCTCTCCACTTTCAAGTGCCTCCCTCCATTTGTTTCTGCCTCTTTTTTTGGTTTTATTTTGTTTCTCTAATTATGGTCCGGACTCGGAGTTTTAGCTATAAATTGAGCAGCTGGCCGTTGGCAAATCATCAATCAGCTCAGGCAACTTTCAATTGCAACACGCAAATCGTCAGCCCAACAAAGCAAACTTGAAAAATGGTAAGTCCTAAAGGATTTGAAAAACCAAGGATTAATTAATTTCAGAAAGGATTATCTAATTTAAATATTAGTTTAACAAAATACAAACATATAAAAAAGTGTTTCTAAATAAATTTTTTGCTGGCAGTTTATCAATTTTAAATAAAAAAAACATGGTTTTTAGAAAAGTATCAAGTTTCTGACATCAACAATTATTTCAAAATACTGGATTTTAATTACATTTATTTTGGCCAGTCAAAAATTCAATACCACAAAAAAATATAAATGACGAATCAATATAAAAACAAAAATATATTATATTGCATCAACAATTAAACAGTAAATCAAAGAGATTGAAATTATTATTATAAATTAATTTACTTAAACAACCGTTTAATAACTTTCTTTGTTTTCCAGAAAATCTTCTCGCTTGGTGGTGTCCTTACCCTTTCCGCCGTGGCCAGCGTGGCTCTGGGAGCTCCCCAGCTGGAATCCCGCTTCCGTCGCGATGTCTCCGAACTGGTGGATCCCGCCGCCGCGGAGTACCTGCCTCCCTCGATCACCGAGGCTGTGCTCCTGAATGCCGAGCCCTTGGAGGCTGAGCTCCAACCCGAACCGGAGGTGGCTCCAGAAGCTGAACCCGAAGCCGAAGCCGAAGCCGAGGGCACTGTCCTTGGTGATCAAGGATACGAGTACCGCACGGTTCGCCGCCTGAAGCTGCGCCACCGCAATCGCCGGGATGTTTCCCACTTGCAGCCAGCCAGGCAATACTTGCCACCCAGCAAGTCCTACTTGCCACCAGCCCAGGAGGCTCCTGCTGCTCCTGCAGCTATTTCTGCTCCTGCCGATGACACCGAGGAGGTGGTGTCCGCCGCCGAGCCCAAGGTGAGCAGGGAGTACCTGCCACCCACCGAGGCTGCTCCTCTGGCTGAGGAAACCACCGAGGTAGCTGCTCCTGCTCCCGAGGAGCCTGTCGATGTCCGTGTGGTGGATGTGCCCACCGTTTCGGGGCAACTGCTCCAGGACGGCTACCACTACCAGCAGCCAGCTGCGGTCCCAGCCGAGCTGAAGGAAGCCGCCCCCGAGTACCTGCCTCCCAATGAGGAGGAGGTGGTGGTGGTGGAGGGTCCTGCCGGAGGAGAGAGCGCCGTGCTGACCAGCGATGGCTACCAGTACCGCGCCATCAGGCGATTCAGGTTTTAAATTTCTCAGTTTGCCAGCGGTTTGCTTGCGTTTCTTTTTTCCATCTTTTGATTGTTGTTGATGTTTTTTAATTGCTCTGAATAAAAGTTAAATTTTGAACAGTATATAAAAGGGTTTATTAAATTACAGAGGGATACAAAAATAATTGATTTACCATTGATGGTTGAGGAACTAATATTATTTATTGGGTTGTTTCAATCTAAATCTAAGATCTAAAAAGTGAAATGTAAAATAAAACCCAATGCATATTTAAACAGTTTACAATAGTTATTGGTGAGCGATTCAATTTTATATGATTTTTAAATTTTGAAAGGTAATATAAAATATAATATTCCCTTACCTTTCCTATTTAATTTAATTCGAATTTTTAAACAGCTTTAAAAGCAGCGAGTACCTTGTAGTTGTTGTTTCACCTAATTTATTTATTATGCATGCATATTAAGTATGCAATGATGCAGCAAATCAGTGTAATTAAAATGAACCAGCAAAAATGGAGAATGGTGAAGAAGACATGTGTATATTTATCTGCAAATTAATTTCTCTCTCCCAATCAGCAGCTAAACATTCTGGTTCTTTGGCAATGCAATGAAATATGCAAATTTGAACTTTAATTATGAGTAGAATTACAAGTCGAATAGGTTGATACTAAACCACAGCTACTGTTGAATGAACACACATTCATCTATTAAATCCAGACTTGATTAACGAATTCCTTAAACAGTCAAAAGCCTTTCGCATCTATATAATTAAAGTCAACAGGGAGATTACCTCTTCCGTAGCCAACTCAACATTACGTATACGCCCTGAGTGGCTGAAAGTCAGTTGGCTTATGTTGTACATTTCCGCCTTGTTTAGTGTCAATAAAAAGGCTTTACATGTGAGTCACCAATTAGCTGAATTTATGCCCGAAGCCTGCTGCTGCTCCTTTGAAGCCCGCCGATATGAAAATCATTGCAGGATTTTATATTCACGTGCTACCCGCATCCTGCCACGCCCACTTGGTTGCCATGGACGCCTTTGGACGCTTAATTAATGCACTTGCGCGTTAACTCGACTCAATATAAGTGGCGAAAGGAATGGGTTCCGGAGGAGGAGGAGGAGGAGCGGCATTAAGTGCTCACTCAAGTTAAATTACTTTGACGGACGACATCGGTGGGAATAAAGCGGGGGGAAAAGCAGAGATAATGACCAGCTCGTCATCTTTACACACTCACTGCTCCGCTGGCCAATTTCAGCTCGCTTTCACTTCCTCCATCACTTCCTTTGCTCCTTTTCTTTTTTTTTAATTATGAAATCAATAGTGCGAAATTCAATTAAAATCTTGCACTTTTCGCTGCACAGGCGAACGATTCGAACCGAAGACGAGGGAATCGCAATTACATTCCAACATCTGTCCAAATATGATAAGCCCGAGCCAACATTTTCCGCATGTTTATTTTCGGTCGAAGGGCCCCAGGGAATCGGAGGCGAAGGCTTGGACCGAGTTGCCAGTGACAGCCCGCTTATTGCATATTAAATCGAGAGGCAGCGGCACAAATCAGCAATCCGGAATCGGGAGTCAGGAGTCAGGAGTTGGGAGTTGGGAATCCGGAATCTGCCATCGGGATCAAGGAGACGAGCAACAAGCGGCTTCAATCGTTTTGAGTGCCCGCCCGGAAGGACATTTGCGTTGGCGACAAGGAATAACAAAACCATCAAGTGGGGACACGCAGGAAAAGTAGAAGGGGCACTTCGGTGTATTTGGCTTAAAGAGACGCCAGCGATGGGAAACGCTGCTTATCGAAAAGGCAAAAACATGTGATTGGGAAGGCGACTAAATAGATGTTCCAAGGAGAATCAAGAACAACGCATATTCGTATAAAATTCAAACTAAATCTAACAACTGAACAATTAATCAGAGTAAATGTCTTAATCTACCTGTAAAACAAAGTATTCAAGTTTAAATTATATTTAGTCGTTGCCTGTCTACTTTTCAATTCACTCTTCTTCTTTCTCATTAGTGTCACCAGAGCTTTACAATGTAAAGCTTACATTACAAATAATCGAAAATTTATTTTAGACTAAATACCTAGTTCTCACATTTTCTTCCAAATAATATTAAATTCTTAAACACCATTTTCACACTTAAATTCTTACAATACCCTTCCCGAGAGTACTTAAATTTTAGTTAGAAGGTTGTAACTAGTAAAAACCAAATTAAAGAAAGAAAGACAGTTTTCGCCAAAGAAAAACACTTAATAAAAATATTTCTTATATAACTGGATTACTGGTAAATCTATTACATTTAGTTTAAGGATCCAGGTACCTACTAACTGGTATATTAAATACATTGAATATTGAAAATTGCTTTCACAGTTAAAACGGTTTAAGGCATCATCACCAAATCTTCCAACAAAGAATCTCCAGCTGAGTTCAACTTGGTTTAACCTTTGTCACCACCTTTGAGATACAAAAATAAAACTCCTGCCGAAATGCCACACCTCAAACTGGGATAAATCAAATTGGCCTCGGGTAGTCAATTTTACAGGCAACAAGAAAAAAGGCAGCACTGCAAGTGACAGTCTCGCCCTGTGAAATGTTATTAAAAATTATTATGCATATTTATAAATTTAATTTGTGCATTACAGCGCTTTCTGACAGATAACACCGAGAATGTACGAGTATTTTATACTATATGTGCGGCAGACAAGGGCAGGGAAATCACTGCAGGCCATTTGAGTGGAGCTCGTAAACGGCAGGAAAAATTCATTCCACCACAGGCTGCGTATGCAGGATATTCCTCTTTTGATATCCTTCCCTTCTCTCTCTCTCTGTCACTTGGTTTTCCCTGTGGTGCACATTTCATACACGCTTTGTCTTTCGAGCGGAGAGCATAAAAAAAAAACAAAGGATGCCAGGATACGAGATACTTTCGCACAGACGGTCGCCTGTCAAGTGCCGCGTTTAACGGTCGTCGAGGTGGCGTCCTTAACCGAAGGATATGACGTTTTTAGGGGGGTTTCCCTGAAGGGGAAGAAGACTCCTTCGGTTTGGGGCACCGCATTCGCCCTTAATCAATGTCTCCCGCTAATTGAGTGCTAAAAATAAAATTAAAATTAAATGGCTACTTTTGTGAACTTAGGCTGAAGAATTTATGAGCCCAATTTGTTCACATTTTAATATTAATTGTGTATAATTTTGGAAAGAAGGCGGTTACGTGTTCTGTTTATATGATTTATTAATTAAAACTGGTGAATGCTATAAATAAAAAAATACACGTTGAGATGTTACTTTAATAAATTACCTTCATTCAAAGCAAACTCTTATCATTTATTTAAAAATTATTAAAATTTATATTACTTAAGACAAGAGCAATTTTATACATTTGTTCATTCCTTTGTGTAATTATCGCTTTTTGTGGAGTTTTTAAAACCATTTGCTGCGTTTTAGAATCGCTGAAGTGCAAACTTTTTCGGACTTATCTCCTCTGCTGCTTTCTGACCATCATTTGATCCGGGTTAATCCTTGCTGTCCACCACAGGGTCTCAACTATTCCTGGCCCGAAACGAACCCTGCCATCCTTCCATCAGGAACTCGTTAATGGCCATTCATTTGTGTGTCAGTCAGCTATGAATAAGCAATTCCGAGTCCTGCTCCTTCTGACCACCGCTGCAGATGAAAGTTTTGTGGCCTCTGGTCGGATTCCAACCAGCAGCAACAGGCAAGGCCCAAAAGGGTTTCCAGCATTTCGCTGTGTGTGTGTGTGTGAATTAGCCAAGTAGCAGGACATCCCAGTTGGGAGCTTTGAAGTGCGGCAGGTAATTGGTTAATTATTAGGCCTTGTTTGCAAGTCCGGTTTTCGCTTCGGGCAGCTCAGTTCAGCAGGAAAGCAATGAAAGCCAGGATAAAGTTTATTGGATAGCAGCAGCCTCAATTTACCCAATTGAACAACTGCCAGTTATGGAGACCACATTTTCACATACTTAATTAGAATCCATCAATCTTACTATAAATTGAACGCATTTATGTCCTTCTTTATTATAGTAAGGTAAATTAAGACACTCTTATTTTGTAGTTGATGATGGTTTATAAGTTTAAAAGATAAATCATTTGCACAAAACTTCAAAACGTAATTAAATTAAATATTTTTTTTTGAGAATGTTTCCAATTAAATCCCAAGACGAAAGAACTTGTAAATTGTAATATTTAAGATTTTAATTATATTAAAAATTGATTTTCATTTAATTTTTTACATCCGGTTTTTCTATTATTTTTTTTACCAAATTGTTGTAAGGATACCTTCATTTCGGCCTGTAGGAATAGCTTTTTACGATCTCGACTGCATTTGCAGGTGAAACCTCAGCTTTTGGGGACAATGCCGAAATGAGAACGAAGCCAACACTGCTAGTAATCATTTTTCACTGGAACTTTTCATTTTCATTGTCCACAGACGAACACACAACCCACACACACACAGGTGTGTGTGCCTTGCTCTTGACTTTTGCGTTAGAAAATTAATAGCCTGACCACAGAAATTCTTGTAAATTTCGTTGGGATTTTGTCCAGCTAGGAGAGAACATTTTGCGTTATCAAAGCAATTTTCTTCATTGTTTGCTCAACTTTTTTGTAGTTTCTGTTTGAATTGGCCATTTTAATTAAGTCAGAGTGTTTGCTTTGCATTTAAAATGTGCACAAAAAAATGGACAAGGAACAAAGTGTAAACATTCCTCAGTAAATATTTTTGTTTACGAAATATTTCTGGCTTATGCACTCATCTCGATGCAATCTGGGTTTTTTTTTCTACCATTTAATTCCATTCCACCAATTCTCAGCCGGATTTATTATTATTTAATCATTATACCGAACGAATGAATACTTAATGAGCGGGAAAATGAGTCGGGTTAAGTTAAGTTGAACTTTAAAATTTTAAATCACCATTCAATTTTCAATATCTCGATGCATATTATTTAAAAGAGTGTCAGATTGATATTATTCCCAATATTTTAAATGTTTATTAAGCAAGAAAGTAAAAAGTTTAATGGACAAATCATTTCTTATAAATGAGCTTGTCTTTAAAGCCATTTTTTGTATTTACAAGAGAGTATTAAGCTAATGAAAAATAGAAATTGAGACAAATCCCCGGCTATGCCTGCCACCCAGAAAAATCGTTGAAGTTGGCTCGAAAAAAGTGGCGCAAGAACACGTGCTCCTCCCCCAGTCAGGTGAACTACAAGGACACTCAACTAAATGGTGCGAATAGTGGGCGTGGCTTTAGGCAGCACCTGAGAAGTGGGCGGGGTAAAAAGCCGTCAGTTCAGATGCCCTGACAACGCCCAAAAGACCAGAAGACGAAGGTGGCTATACGGCGTACGAAAAAGCGAAATAAAAAACGCATATTGCGTAAATTTCGATGTCAAAGGCGGCGAGCAGGTCACAAAGTCGGTTTTGGATTCGGATTCGGATACGGAATAGGGATTCGCAGGCAGCCAGGACCGAAATCGACGGCCAGGAGCCAGGAGTCGGGAGTCAGGTGCGTGTGCGGCACTTATGAGTGGCACTTAGTCTGGCCTAATACCCATCATTAGAGCATTTAACAGGAAACACGTGACGCTGCATAGCAGCTAACCTGCCTCGACCTGCCCCTCCCACCTATTTTCCTCCTCATCTCAGCCGGAAAACTCTGAAACAGTGGCAGTCGGTGGAAAAGCGCTGGGGTGGGTGCACTTTAAACCCGGGCCTACGGTTTTCACACCCCAAAAAGGATTTGTCAACTCTGGCTGTTCAAGTGGGGAATACAGGACGGCAAGGAATGTCCTGGGGGCACAGACACAGTGGTCGTAGATGCCGCGCTGATTGCGCTCCGGAAATGTAAATAATTTCGAATTGCTTATATTCCTAGGCTCAAGATACAAGCCACGTGGATCAGAAGAGTATCGGCTAATAGGTTGGAACCTTTACAAATCAAACGACTGGAAATATGAAATGAGCAAATTAATAGCGATAGATGTTCATTATATAACGCAACTGGTTTCTACAGGCAAACTGCTGGTTCACCTCAAATTACCCTAAAAAATCTGTGATTATCTACAGCGTCTATTATGTATAGTTATCCGGTTATAGCCATTATTTATTTTATTATTTTAGAATATCGCGATTCTATAATTCCTTTTGGCTTTACAGCTTAAACATTTGGCACACAAATAGCGCCCTCTATCGTTCGGAAGCAGTAACTACTGTAATGACTGCTTGATTGTTGTCGGTAAGGCAGTCCATTAAAGAAATTTAAAACAAACCGCGAACGTTTAGTGCGGAGATCTGGCAGAACTCTGAATCTCACATTAATAACATTTGCAACGAGAAAAAAAATAATTGTATTTAAACGCTTTCTGTGGACACTTCTACCACCGATTCGCTAAATGAAAATAGGAATGGTGTGCGCTATGTGACCACTTTTTGCATTCGATAAAACATTTATCGTTATAAGATCGCACAGTCTATCGATAACTGGAGACTGGCTGAGCGGGAAAGCGGACACGTAAGAAATTTTAAATCGATCTCAGTGCTACATTTATTGCATGGAAAAATTCTGACTCAAAAGTTAACAAGTATATATTACTGGTTTTGTTATTCGCAATCGTCGATGTAACATCACAAAAACTTTATATGGTAACTGCATTTTGCTTATAAATTCCGTTAGAAAAAAAGTCGTAATACTCACTTTAAATACTCATTTATTTAGTTAATATAAAGCTATTTCTGACTGCAGCGCTGCCAACGTTCATTAAGCGTTTAGAAAAATCGTTGTTTTCAATATTTCAGTGACCAAGTGTGTGTAGTTTTGTTGTGTGGGTTTTTCGACTGTGGGAAGTTTTGTGCTGTTTTTGTTTGCTGGATTAAAAGTAAAAAATCTAAATCGAAAAATACTTGACTGACATCCGCCGAGGCGAGGCGGCCACCATTTGGTACGAACTTTGTACATTACAAGTTATGAACTATGCTAGGCGAAAAGTTAGTGCATTAAGTAGACCAGAAGTGCGGCGAGCGCGGTGGCCAGAAGTCCAGGAATTCCGGATCCCAGCGAGGGAGCACCGCCCGTCCGGCAGAAGTACTCGCCGCAGTCCGCCTCCGAAATGTCCTTGTACTTGGCAAGGACATCGGACCAGTTGCACAGGCCCACGTTGCACCAGTCCAACTGGACGGCCTGTTGGTTGAGGAAGAAGACAACCTTCTCGCGATCCAGGATCTGCGCAGGACAATCGTACTTCACCGCCACAAAGTTGGCGGCGAAGGGATCAATAAGGCTTGACTTCCATCGGCGACTCGTCAAACTCTCGTAGTTGTCGGCCCGCAGTTTGATGTCGTCCTTCTTGATGCCCAGCGCCGTGAGCAGGGTGAGGAGACCCGTGGAGTGGGCAAAGTGGGCCACCACATGCGGCGACACCGGGTTGCTCAGGTGCGTCAGCAGATCCTGCACCAAGCGGCAGTTGAGGTTGGCGTTTTCCGGGAATCCATAGCCCGATCCGTAGTAGTACTTCAGATCCTCCAGGTACTCGAACACGGTCACCTGCTCCGGCAAAAAGGCGCCGCACCAGACGCTGTTGCGGTCCACCTGTAATATTTCGATGCACATTTCAAACTAGTTTATCGAGAAACAGTTATTTGGAGATCTTACATTCCACGCCTGTTCGTAACGGCACATGTCGTACATCAGCTTGATGTCGTCCTCCTCGAGGGTGTACAGGAATCTTAAAGTATAGATTTTAAAACTCATCCATTAAAATATCATACAAAACAAGGGAATTGTATACGATTTCAACTGAAGGTAAACAGTTTCACATTTATAGAAAAAAATATAAATAAATAAATACCTTAATTTAAAGCATTTAAAACAATCAAAATAACTAGTCTTTTACAGAGGAAATAAACTGAGAGAATTAAAAGTTTTTAATCTTCAATTTACTTTAAAATTAGATCTCATTAAAAATTAAATATTTGTCAGAAACGATGAAACAATTTAATCTCTACATATTTATACTTTTTCTAGCTATTTTAAGATTTGAGGAATAAATTGAAATCCTTACCCCAATCGCTTGGAGATGTCCACGAGGGTGTCGTTGTAGAGCTTGGACTGGCGGTACTTCTCGTACTCGGAGCCCTCGCCCTTGTAGTTAACCTGCTTGAAGGCCGGGCAGTAGTCATAGGGACGGAGCAGCAGATCCTGCTTGGGAATCTCCACAGGATGGGCGGTATTGGAGGCTCCAAAGAGACCTTCGGCGAAGGCCCTGAAACTTTCGGCAGTGCGCTGCGTGTCCGTGTGACGGAACTGCGGAGATTTCGAAAAATAAAATATATATTAAATGAAATAAATATACAGGTAATGTTCACTATAAAACCCACCTGATAATAAGTGTCGTTGAAAGTAGGAGTGAGCACACTGGGATAGTAGCGCTGGTACAGCTTGGCTGTTCCCCTGAGATCCTCGTAACCCTGGGCGGTCAGATACTCCTCCATGTCGGCCGTAATGCTGCTGTTCCATTTCCACAACTGAATGGCCAACAAGTCCGTCATGCAGAGAGCATCCGTTTCCGGCTTGGTCTTGGCCACCTTGTAATTGGCGATAATGAGGTCCCGCAGCTAAATGTTCAGAATAAATAACACCATTATAAAATTTGATAAAATAATAAATTCCCCACATTAATTCTCCTCCAATATTCAGTAATGAAATGCTTACACTTGTTATGAATACGAATGTAATACTTGTCAAGATTATTACGTCGTAAAAGTGAATAGATAGCTAAAGCTATAGCTCATATTTGTCTGTAATAAACCGCTTCCCCAATTGGCAGCTTGTGTACAAGCGTTTTAGTCATAAACAAGTTCTTTGAAGACTATAATGTGTTAATAAGTTTGACTTTCGTCGAATTTATCGCGGCATGCATAACACTTATTTAATTTATTTGAATTTTTATTAAGGTAAAACATGTTGACTTAAAAAAAGCTTTTTTTATATTAAATGTTTTGATTTGAATAGTTATTTACATTCACAATTATTTTAACGATACTTAGGAAATATTATACAATCATCAAATTACCGAAAAGTAAAAGTAAATTATACAAAATTAATGATTATTATTAGTATTATTATTTCATAAATATCATTTTAATTTATTTGCCTTCATTTTGCTTTAATTTTTTTACTCCATTAATAGTAAAAATGAATCTCACATTTAATGCTATTCTAAATACCCTTAAACCTAATACCAATTCGGAACTCACCTCGGCGACCCTGTCCGCCTTGTTGATCATGCTCTTCTTGGGCAGCCGCGTGCCGTGCCTGTGGTAGATCCACATCTTCTGGGGCTGGCAGCCGGGCACCAGGTACTGCTTGTCGATGTCCGTGCCCTTGACGATCTGGTAGGCGGTCTTCGAGGAGAACTGGCGGGTCTGCAGCCGGGAGTTGTCCTGGCTGAAGCAGTAGTCATCGCTTTGGGCAATGGCCACCAGTGGCAGCAGCAGGCAAATCAGCAGGCGCATGGCTCTGGGGAAATTTAAAAGAAGAAAGAACGGAGGAATAAGTCAGTCAGCTGGGAGGCGGGAAAAGGATTGCTCGAACATTTAAGTGGCCCAGCCTTTGGCCAAGCGCATATCCTTGAACTGTCGTCCTGTCCAACTGGCTCCCTAATGGACACGACGGTTGTCATATGTGGAGGCCGCCTGGAAGCCACCATCACCACCCACCTCAGACAGCCGAAAGGTGTGGCATTTAAATTGCTTCGCTGGCGTCTGGCAAGGAAACTTGGCAAGACAATCTGGGAGGGGCCCCACAGAATCGAATCGAATGGAAATCCAGTCGGAGTTCGGAGGAAATGCCAGCACACACGCACCCACACTCGAAAAAAATTAACCCTTTGAACTGGAAAGTCATAAAACTTGTGTGGCATAAGAACAGAATTCTTGGGGAATATATGCAATGCTATAAACTTTTGAGAAGAGATTGAAAACTTAAATAAACCAATGATATCTTACAGAATTGTTTCACAGCTTAAAGAATTCTTTGATGTGTTCTTAAATTATTTATACCTAGCTCTTAAGACTTTTTTTCCGAGTGCACTAAACCTTTGCGAAAAAACTAACCTAACTATGGCCCTGAAAATTAGGCTAATGATTTTCGGTGGGCTTCGCTGACAAATTGCTGCAGTTCTCCACGTGGCTTTTAGTCATCAGCCCGAGTCCATCAACCGACCTCCATATCCCCAACCCCCTATTTCACCTTCACACTCCTTCCCCAATTAGGTCAGGCCAACAAGTTGGGATTGCTCATAGATTGCCCATAAAAGATTGTAATGTTTCAATTTAGTGCCCGCATCCCACTTTCATTAATCAACCACGTTCCAGGGATTTTCGATGGGGATACAATAGTGCCATAATAACATCATGTTACACGAGCCGACTTAGGGGTTAACTCTAGTCTAAATTTTGATTGACAAGCTGGCTCGACACTTTGCTTCAAAAATTCTGTAAGAAAAGCAGTTATTTTCAGGAAAAAAATCAAAATGAGTTTTAAGGAAAAATTGACTGGTTTATGGTGCAGGCACAAGCCCACGGAAAATCAAAAGGCATTGGCATTGGCCTTGTAAGTATTAGGATTAAGCAAAGCTGTTAGTCTGAAAAAGTACAGTACACGCTGAAGGACAAAAGTTAGCCAGGGTTGCATTGAAAGCAGAGCTGTCTGCCTGCTTAATCGGCTTAATGGTTCGCATCTTAACGTTTTAATCCTTTGAACCCACAGTATCCCATCAGCTGCCACCTTTGGACTGGCTGCAGCTTTGGCCGTTGTTTACTTTACCGATTGGAAAGTAATTGCCGGATGGATTCCCCTCTATAATACCAAATTTCCCAAAGAAGAACCCAAGAAGAAGAAGAAAAAGAAGAGCAATGATGAATGAACTTTTTATTTTTGGTCTCCATGCTTCAACAAAATCAGACACTTAAAGATCGTGCCTTCTGTGGAATATTGTTCAAATAAACGATTTTACTGGCTTTCAATATTTTCTTTGTATTTTCGGTGCCTTTTTGTGGTTTATGTTGCTTGTATTTTGGAAATGCATTTGGTGGAACACGCTCCCAAAAAAAATAAATGCGCTGCCAGTCAAAACACAAGCCGAAAGAACAACAAATAAATTGTTGCCACAGCACCCGAAATAGATGAACCGAAAATCCCCCCTAAAGCCCCTTAATCCAAAAAAAAGCTAAAACTTTGAAACAAATTTGGGGTTTTCTGTTTACAATTTCGACCCCATTGATTGGTAAATGCAGTTGGGAAACCTGTTGCAGAAATGGGATGGAAAATAAATAAATTTAACGGAAATGCGATACTGGCACACAGGGAAAAAATAATGAATATTAATTAATGATTTCATTTTACAATAACCGTAAACCAAACACATTTAGATTCTACGACCTGCATGCACACAAAAATAAATTCATTTTAATGCCAACAAAATTAATGGGTCTTCAATTTATAAATAGCAGAGAAATAAAAATTCGATGCCATATTTTTTCTCAGTGCTTTTGTGACGTCAGAGCCATAGCATTGACAGCTGCAATTAGCTTGTGAAATTTCCAATTACACATCCAATGTGCGGAAGGCCAAAAAGGCGATCTGACACACGCATCTAATTTTCCTGCCCCCACTGCATCTTTCCATCTTTGCATCTTTGCATTTTCAAGTGCAAATAATTGCCCCACATCGCATCCATCGGATGGATTGCACTTTTCTAGCGCTCCAGAGCCACATCGATACTATACGATACGATCCGATGTGGGATCTGCGATCCGAGACCTTCTTCTTGGGCACTCCCCTAATCAATTGAATGCCCCTCCTTTGTTTGCAATTTCAGACCATTCCATTCCATCGGGCACTTTTCTAGTTTTGTAGTTTTGTGTTTTCTCAATGCGAAATTAAAATTCCAATTTTGCTGCCATCTCGTGTTTACTTAGCTGGCTTTTATGAACTGGGGAATGAAATTGCTCCAGCTTTCAGTTCACTCCTCCCCCTCATTTGTAAAACAGATTTGCCAACTTGGAAAACTAATATCTCTGGGTAATATTTATTATTTAATACTTTTTTGAATTCGTTTGAAAAGTGTGCGTTACATTTGGCTAATTTGCTGATTGTGTGTCTATATGGAACACCCCTTTATACATAGACAATATAATTACTTTGAATGGGATTTTAGTATTTGATTTGCTTTAATTAATCGATGCATGCAAATCAGAATTGTTAACTTGAAAAGTAAGTATTAAATTAGCGTCTTTCTTAGATAAATGTTTTGAATACATTGAGTTTAATATCGTAGGTATTTCTTTCTGTGTACCCTTTTCCTTCAATAAATTCCTAGTTTTTATATTTCTAAGAGGTCTGCCCTCGTGCTGGTTTCATTTGCGGGTTTCGGTTTTTTTAGACCGTAGCATAAATCAAAACCAGAAATTTATTTTCAGTTGTTTTTCTGCTGTTTCCACTCTGCCTAATTTATAGATGTTTTTTTTTCTAATTTGTTTTTCATTTTTGGGCAGTCTGCAAGAAAAGTCACTGCCAGTGACCCGAAAATCCAATTCATCATTCCACCAATTGATTTTTCCAGCATCACTGATCGATCTGAGATCATTGAACTTCTACGGGGAAATTAAATAATTTTGATTACGAAACGATGCGAAGATGTGGAGCAGAATGAGTGCGCAGATACAAACTTGCATCAATTGCTGGCCAAGTTAATTGATTACACACGCAAACAGCTGGCGAGAGTTTTTCGAGCGTCGAGCGTTTTGTTCCCGCTTTTCACAGCTGCCCGCGAATCTTGTCGCGGAAAAAAATGTGAAAAAAAATATATATATAGTAAAAATGCTAAAATCAAAGCTCCGCAACTACTGTGCATATTAATTAGCAAATGTGTGCAAATGAGTGGCGGGTGGAGAGCGAGCGAGCGAATGCCAGGTCGACCAATTATCGTAATGATGCTCAAGCGCAATTCACTTAAAATCCCCGACACGTCCCCGGATAATGGCGCATATATCATATGCAGACCTTATAAACCGAGATATTACACAGCCGTTTCGTTCACTTTTTTTTATGGAGAGTCTTGGGCGACCGGAACAACCAACATAAAACACTGGAAAATATGGGGAAGACAAGGCCACCGTCTAGTTAATATGCAGACATCGAATTTTCTCTTTGGGGAACTCTGGGGAGAATCGGCGTTCGAAACCCCGGATAATTCTCGGCTTGCCTGGCGGAATCTTTAATTAAAGGCGATACCCGAAAATTGCCTGGGAACATTAAGTATTTAATTTATCACCAGGGCCCCCAAGGCGACCTTCCCCATTACAAGTCCAAATAGATATGGGAGATCTCCGTCGTCTGGCTTGTGTTCTGTTGGAAAATATTTTAAAATATGCCGCCTGCTTGACCTCAGCGTGACAAGTAGGAAATGTAAGGGGGAAGGGGGATATAGAACGTCTTGGAATTTTGAAAGAGTTTCGAAAAGTATTTTTGGGATAGTTCTTTGGCAGGCGGAATGGAATAGCTGACGTCGCTACAAAATAGAATTGTCTTATTTTTGATGATATACTAACTAATGCCCATTAAAAATCGAGAAATGTGTTGACTGCCGAAATAGACTATGTATTTTCGTCAGCAAACAAGGAAGCCAGGCGAAATAGAATAGAAAGTGTTTCGGTTAAGGTTAAGTGAGGAAAGTCTGATGCCAAAATGCTTTTGGCACTCTTTCAAAAGTGAAAATCTTTTTTGACAAATTCTGTAATTTATTCGAGGCGAGGGGTGCAATTTTCAAGTGTAAGTAAACGATCGCGAGAATTTTTCTATCTCTCTAAACCAGCAATCTGGTAAAGAAAATTAAACTCTTGATCTCTAAGCATCGAAATTACAAAATGATGCAACTTATTTTAAACGAATAAACTCTTATATTTATTTTTCAAGAGCAAACAAATAGAAAACCAAAACAAACAGGCCGGAAATCATAATAAAATAAACACCTGTCTGAAACATAAAAATAAGTAATAACGCTAAAATGTTGTTAATCCAATTTAAAATATTATTCTTTGCTTCAAATTAATTGAGCATGTATGCATAAAAATGATTTGTATCAACTAAGCCTTTATTTTATGGTGGTTTTGCTAATTTTCCGACATGATGTGACGCTAGACAAAAAATTTATTGGAATTTTTATATCTAAAATATTTTTTTTAGAAATATTTGTTGTTTTATTTTTTTAAAGAGCTGAATTCCTTAGAAACCACAAATTCATCTGTTGGCTAAATAGATTTTAAGGGAGGGCTGGATGAAAAACCGCATCCATGGAAACCCGCTACCGAATTTTCCAAGAGCAAGTGATCGCGACGGAGAGCGAGCGATGAAAAGGTCGGAGGAAAAACAAGTTAGAGTCAATGTTCGCGGGCCTAAAACCGGTTTTCTCGGCCTCTCTTTCGGCCAAATGTTTGTTTTTTTCTGACTAGGCTGTTGGCCCACATAATGGGCTGAAAACCTCAACTCACCCACGCCCCTCAGGTAGCCGAAAAAACACAAATAGCAAATGACCAAGTGTCAAGCATCGGCTGTTGAAACCGTCAAAATGTTCGGACAGCAAAACGCCCGGGAATTCCGAATATTTCCTAGGGCTCGACCCCGGAGATTCAAGATTCGTTTTGTGGGCGGGCGGGGAGGTGGAGTGGAAAATAAATTAAATATTTAATGTGCTCCTGTGTCTTGGGAACGGGTAACATGGCGTGTCCAAGTGGGAGTCGCGTGTCCCGTGGGGCAGCCCATAAATCTGGAAATCCGCCAAAGGAGTTGGAACCGGGTGGCCGCCCACAAGGACCAACGACAAGACACTTGTGTCAACTATTTGTTTGCGTAATTTGCTTATCTTTGTGCTCCTATCCACTTTAATTGCACGAACTTAGATTAATCTCCGTGCGGCAGAGGGTTAATTATTTTAAGCACTTCTTTTAAACGCGTGCAAAACGCACTGGGGTCATTTAAAACATTTACTAGTAGGTGATGCAAACACAGCTGCCGCCTGCTAATTTGATTGCTCGGCCAACGAAACGCGATTTTGGCAGCAAAATGTGGCACAAAAAGTTTTGATTTCAGAACAGTGCGTTGAACCTCTCATAGGGTTTGCTACAGTGAGAGAAATATCCCATTGATATCGTTTTAATTGATTAAAACAAAACATTAAAAGGCGATCAATGAAGGAAGAATATAACAACACATTCAAACTTCAAAATATTTTTAAATTGATTAAATTAATTTAGACCCTTGTCTTTCACTCAATTTCTTTTCAGTGTCTTTTGTTTGGGCGAACAAAAAATAAAGTCACACGCTGCGTGGAAATGGACACTAAAAAATGTAAGAAAACAAGCAAAACCAAATTCGTTCCAAAAACTGATTAATGTAGCCACCTCAAGTTTCCAGCCGTTTTCATTCATATGCAAAATGTCGAATGGTAACAATTTAATACTATATTATTTCGCTGAGCTCATCACGAAATCGGGAGAAAAAAAACTTGGTTATTTGTTTAGCCGTTTGTTATACAACAATTTTAGATGACCGCCAAACAGGTTTCCCAACTGATTTCCATCTACTATTTGTGACTGCGAAATTTAAGAATAAACACAAACCGCAGGTGCAGCAGGAAAATATCTGGGAATGACAGCTAGAGTGCAAACTAATGGTTCAATTAAACGAAATATATTTGCCACTGCCAAGTGATCGCGAGAATATCTTGGCTCGACTTATGTGAAATTTATTCTAATGACGACAAATTACGGATCATTAATTGCGCTGATGAATTTTGCTATTGTTTGAATTTAAGACACACACGCACCTATTTGGGTAATTTAAATGCACTGGTTGGACAATTGAAGTTAGGCAGTTTTTTTAACCGATCCAAACGACTTTACCCGCTGACAACGACACGACCGCTCAACGTTTGAAATAAAACTGAAAAACAGCGCCGAAATCGACTTCCCAAGTTGGTAGAATGAGTATAAGGTTGTCTCGTCAGGTCCGTCAGTCCCGGAGCGCCACCCGAATGTTACCGAACTGAACATGAACCATCGCTTTGGAAGTCATTTTCGCCCGCTAGAGGCGCTTTTCAACCTGTTTATGGAAACTTTACATAGGACTACGTCTTTCTAAACAGATAAACGAAAACAATGTTTTCTCGAACGAATAATAAGGACAACGTTTTTTCAATCGGGAAAACGGTTTTCTCAAATTAATAACGAAGACAACGTTTTCCCAAACACAGAAAACTCAAGAGAGCATCCCGATCGTTAAGAGACTCGAGCGGTTTGACAGTCGACGTAATTCCCTCTCTATAGCGGCTTGATCTCCATTGCTCTCTTTCTATCTGTCTCCGGAAAATTAAGGCGATGGCGATAAGAGATTATAACATGTAAACAACTGGCGTGGGCGAAACTCTCAGGTGCGAAGAAGATAACAGATGACATGCTGGAATTTGTTTTTTATTTTTTTTAACTCCAGTATTTGTTGACCAGCTGTTATAAAAACTCGTAACTGAACAATAAAAATAATGGAAATGGAGTAAGTATCATTGTTAAAATTCAAATGAGCTTATCAAAATCGTACACCCCCAAAGTGGAAAGTTCTGTACCAAAACAAATCCTTATCTTCCCTAAATTGTTATCATATTTTGTATAACATAACTCTTTAATAACATAAACATAGACTTACTTCAATTAATCTCTAAACATTAATAATAACATAATAACGTAATTTGTATTATTTACTTATCAGGATATTTATATTCATATTTATTTTTATATTAGTATTACAATTCGGTTATATATAAAACAATTTTATGAGAATAATGGAAAATAAATGTCAATTTCTTTTGATTAATCCAACAATAGAAGTCCTCCAAAGTCCACCTCCATTGCGACAGACGTTCAAGTTTACTACCCTGGCGACGCTAATCACATTCGAAATGATAACGACAAAATCTATAAGAAAATAGTGATCTTAGTATAGATTTCAATTGAAAAATCAGCGAACTTTTCCTTGCCGCAGATAAGTAATTGGCGCAGAACTTAAACAATCTGGCTATTGTGTTGAGATTACAGCCATAAATGATAAGCAGATGACATTTTTAAGTGCCGCCGATCAATTATTGCTATTTAAACGCCGTTACCGTCACTATGATTACATTATCAAGGATTCATTTGCGTCACATTGCTAATCCATTTATTTTTCATAACCACTTATAAATATTTTCTGATTTGTCTTCATGACTTAATTTCGAAGATCTTTTTGTCTTCGCAATGTGACGCAAATGAATCCTTGATTGTGTAATCATAGGTACTGTAGCGGCGTTTGAACTCCAATAACAACAACTTATACTTAAAAAAAATATGGTTAAAGTACCAAAAAGTGTTACGCAGCAATTAAACTCTAAGAAATCACCTGCCATTTATGACCAAATTGTACTTTGTTTAAATCTGGCCATTATCAAACCACTCGAAGGTGCTTAGTGAAAAGCGTACTAGAGCGTCATTTAATTACCAACTGTTTGCTTTAGGGAAACCAAGTAAAAGAAGGTAAACAAAAATCAACTATTGCAACAACTCTTTAATTTACCGTATAAAATTTTTTTATAGGGATACAATTATTTAGTGCAGAACCTCGCAGGCTTACATTATATTTAAATCGTATCGCCACCATATTCGAACAGATTATAATGGTATGGTATCATTATTTCGAGAGATCGTGGGATCGCTAAAAATGTTTTACTACCCAGTAATAACTGATTCTAATTCTTTCAAAAGAACCGGGTAGTCTAAGGCCACAACCAATGTTTTAATAGGTTGAGAAAAAAGATTTCTCGTTGATACGAATACGTTAACAGCTTGCCGGTTTTCTCTCTCTGGTAGCCCTTTGATCGGCGTTGCCATTTATACATTTTATGCGCTCTGGCAGCACTCGAGCTCGAACAACACCAACTGAGAGATAGTTCTGGAATTTCGTAGATTTAATTAATAATAAAAACAGATTAAGCAACGCAAAGCAGGCATTGTGAGTCTTGGCAAAGAAGCCAATATATAAGGGGATCTTTTGGGCAACTTTCACTCATTGTTTACGATTTTTTCCACCTGCCCTAAAAAATCGGTGTGCCAAAAACCAAAGATGTCGGACTGGGACTCTGTGACTGTTCTGCGGAAAAAGGCACCGAAATCGTCAACCCTGAAGACGGAATCGGCTGTAAACCAGGCACGCCGTCAAGGAGTCGCCGTTGATACCCAACAGAAATGTAAGCACCGGTTCCCTTGGGGCCCCCACCCCCAACAATTTGACCCCCTTTGCGACCACACCACTGATTGTCTAACCTAGAAGCACCTCCTGCTGCATTGCGTGGCAATCGTTTTCTATTTGTGCTGGTGATTTCACAAGTGCATGCTAACCTTTCATCGAGCACTTGTAGATCTCCTCTAATGATACCCTGCATATAACCTCTTAACCAGATGGTGCTGGCACCAACAAGCAGCATGTGACCACCAAGAACACTGCCAAACTAGACCGCGAAACCGAGGAGCTGCGCCACGACAAGATTCCACTCGATGTGGGCAAGCTCATCCAGCAGGGACGCCAGGCTAAGGGCCTCAGCCAGAAGGACCTTGCAACCGTAAGTGAAAGATCTCTTTAAAAAACTTAGACGATAATGCTTAAGATGACAAATTAATATGAAAAGCTAAAAGGATAACAAGTTATGAAATTCTGTCACTAAAAATATAGTGTTGTATTAAATGTTAACTGATTTTATTCAAAGCCAACTGATATTAAAAAGCATAGCCAATTAGGAATAAGATGTCTAATTTCGTAATACATACAACTTACACGGCTTGTTAAGTATTTTACAGAAATAGCAAGTCTGGACAAAAAATGAATGATGAAATGTGTTGAATCTTAAATGCCCCCATTAAGTTAACCCCAATTCCTTCCAGAAAATCTGCGAGAAGCAGCAAGTGGTGACTGACTACGAGGCCGGACGCGGCATCCCAAACAACTTGATCCTGGGCAAGATGGAGCGCGTGCTTGGCATGAAGCTGCGCGGCAAGGAGCGCGGCCAACCAATAGCGCCTCCCGGTAAGAAGTGAGACGATGCTGCCGCGTCTGCTGCCAGTGGTGCTCCGCACATAAACACCTCAGCACGCGGCGCCAGACAACAGAGCCATCAACAACCGGATTCTGGAGGCTGGAGCACAGTAAGCGGCAGACGCAAATGAAGCATTATCGGGAGGCTGGCGAACCAAATCAATTCGGGTCAAACAGCAGCAGCTGCGGTCGCAGCAAATCAGAAGCAAAAAAAAACCCAAGATCCAACTAATCACCACTATGAGCGCCAATTTCGCAATTGTTTTTTCCAAGCCAAAAAGTCGGCAAAAATCTTAGCGCTTGACACTTGTCAATCTTTTTACCGATAAATTAACAATTGTAATTACCCAAAGTACATACATACACACACAAAAAATGCACACAAACCGGATACGGAAACGCAGTCGGACGTGGAACGCAACGGACTTATCTGATATTAACGCGCTCATAGCTTGGACAAGTGTTGTTCGTTCATTTTGGCAATAGAGTTTGTTTTGAAACTTGATCTAATTTATGGAATTAAAACCAAGACATGAAAAGCATGGAAAAACACACGATTTTCTTTTAATTTTATTGTCACCCAATCAGCCATACTCAAAACTTGCATGAACCACTCATTACCTTACCATCCAGCTAAGGCCATTGAGCACACACATTGAAGGTATAAGCGAAATCTTAGAGCTTAGTCGGACTTTCCCTCTTTTTGTAATTTATTGTGTAAGGGTCATGAACTGTGCGTTTACTAATGCATTATACATATTATACAAAAAAACATATGCTAATGTATTTAGAAACATTTTCTAGTCTACAAAATATTTAAATATTTAAGCGATGGCATTTTTCGATGTTTATTTATTTCCCACTGCCCAGCCTCATTACTCCACAGCTAAATATTGCTAATCGGAGATATACGATACCACTCCCATAATAAATGTGTAAAAAGAAACACTTCTTTTTGCACGTGATAAAATCTTAAATATCAAATAAATGTTTTCGCCATCTAAACAACATTTTAATGGTAATACATGGCAGTTTTTATTGGGAAGTCAAAATTGTTATTTTGAGAGGTTTCGGTTTATTTTTGGCGGTTTGCTTTTATTTATTTTTTTTTTACCAAACACTTTAACTAAATAAGTCTCAGAACATATTCAATTACAATGTAAGGAAATTTTGTCAGATAGAGCATATTCAAAAATAAATGTCTACGATCCTAAAACAGAATTTATTGACAATAATGTTTTTAACAACCAATGTCCACTCGACATTTGTAAATTAGAAAGTTTAAGAAGTAGACTTCTTGGGTTGTGTATTGCATTGGTGTTGTTAGCTTTTGGAAGCACATGAAGTTTTATTCGTGCATTTGTTTTTTAATAATTTGTATAAATTCGAACTAAATAATAATATAAATGGCAAACAAACTAAAACTAGGAGCTCATAATGAGAAGGTTCTTCAATTTGTCCTAAATATATATTTGGTTAAGCAAAGGCCAAGTCAGGGATCTCTTGGTCTTGATTCTTTTGGATAAACAATTTTAAAGCCCTCTCGAAGTCCCAGTCTGCCTGCTCAACAATCGATGTGCACCAGGTGGAAATGAGCCCGGTTACTTCTTGAAACAGAAGCAGTTTATGGTCCTTTACATCCAGGGAATCATCTTCTCGCGGATGTTCACTTGGATCGGGATATTGCACACTGAAAGCGTTTCGGATCATATTTGTTGAGGGTCTCATAATGTTAAGTCGTTCATTTGTGATCTTCAGGCGGCGAGCTCTCTTACCCAAGCCCTGAAAAGATTAAAATATATTAATATCATATAAACTGGTTGCCTATCAATATATATAGAAAGAATTCTCATTAAAAATAAAACTATTTTTCCAACCTACCAGGCCCTCCGTATCGAACTTGACAACAAACTGCCGACTGAAGCCCAGAAAAACATCACCGATGGCATTTTTGCTCGGTTCCTCATCGCGCAGCAAGCCAGTAACATAGATCACGGCAGAGCTGCCGTCGTAATGCATTACGTCCGTCTGTAGGGAGTGAAAGTCATGGGTGACCTTTGGCAGTTGTGCCAGCACCTCCAGAATCTCGTCTGTGCCAACGTACACGCTATTAGCCGCCTTTGAGAAATCATTTTTGAGAAGATTTCTCGCATGCTTGTTGTATTTTGCAATGCGGCGCAACATATGGGAAGTCTGATGATTCTGAACCACACTGTAGTTGCAAGTCAGGGTGAAGATCGAGTCATTGGTGTAATACTTATGCAGACGACCACGGTCCTCGTTATCCTCAAACTCTCGCAGATAATTTTTAAGGAAAAACCCGCCAATCAGCTCGTAGGCGCCGATATCGCAAAGAAAGTTCTTTTGTGGCGACTGACCGGGGTTCGTTTGCAGATCAACACCATCCAAGGTGGTCAGTTGCGGACACAGTTCCATAACCGCACGGATATATTCGCTGGGCAGGCTGTAGTTGCGACACAGTTGATTTCCATGAAGTACAAGGGATTTCAGGGGTAGCTCGCCCAAAGACTTAATCACTGAGAGGTCGTGAAGCCAGTTGTGGCTTAGATCCACGGCACGCAGGTTGCCCATCCGACGAAGGACATGAGCTCCATCCACTGTCACGATCTTGTTGCAGCACAAGCGAATCTCCGAGCAGTTAGCCATAAATTGACGCGACGCCATCGACAGTACAGAGGTCAAAATTTTCGGCGAGCTCAGTGACACCACAACGTTCTTTAGACTCTCGTTGGACTGGAATTTATCAAGGTTAAGCAGCCGGTTTTGGGGCACATAGCAAAGCTGGACAGCTTTCTGAATGCATTCCTTAGGATCGATATGGTGTTTTTTATAGGTGCTCACGTTCATGCGCAGGTAGTATTTGAAGATACGCTCCTCAGGAAAACTGACTGTCGGCGGAATCCACATCTCTAGATTGTATGTGTTAACCAAACTAGAAATCTGATCGAAGCAGTTGCGTACAAGGAAAACGTGCTCATTTTTAATGTACTAAATATGGGATAAAATTATAAATTTTACTAGACTCAGATAAAATGCACTTGCAGACGCACCTTATAGTAGCAGGGATAAAATTCGCTCAAAGTTGCTTCTATGCGAATGAAGAAAAAAATCAAAAAACGCATCCTTGCTGAATTCTTGTTGGGGATCAGGAACCTAAAACAGGCATACATTCATTTGTGGAGTTTAACTTTACCAGCTTACCAGGTATACCCACCATAAACGCATGCCAATCCTGGCTCATAGTATACTCTGACAATTTCCACGTATTGTTCGAGTCCAGCCGCGATCCATCCGTCTCCAGATCGATGTCATTATCAAGAGGCGAATATTCCTCGTGCAGCATATCGAAGGGGCGTCCATTCTTAGGAGTGAATTTATTAATTGTGTTTGGGCTTGAGACCTTCTTTTAAGTATACTCACGACTAACTTGAAGTTCTTCTTGAGCATCCTGATGTTCTCTGGGAACTGATATGTCTTGACAATGGGATTATTTTCCAGGAACAACTCTTCTGCCCGGAATTCCTCGAGGGCGCGACAAAATCGTTCAGCTGATTTAATCTAGAAGCAAACGATGAATTGGGCTGAACTGTACCAGGAGCAGTCAACTCACTTTGTTATTACTTAAGTCGAGCAGGGCATAGTCTACATTGGCGAAAAGAGTCAGAGGCCGTACATTCCGGATGTTGTTGTTGGACAATATGAACCCGTTCACCCGGAAGCTATTAGTGTCGTTGCGTATTACTTGGCACACGTTCATTAGAATGCTTGGATTACCCAGGCTCACCACAATGTTGCGGAACTCCGGATGTTCGCCAAAACTGTCCAAATTGAGCAGTCGCTCCACGCCGTTCTTTTTAACAAGTTGTCTCATTAGTCTGTTGACCACTTGGGCAATGAGCAAGTGCGGCGATATTTGGTTCCTTTGATACTGGGCCACTCCCAGTTGGACGCTGATATCGAAAGTGGCGCCTGAGTTCACGCTGATGGTAAGTCGCAAATTAAACAGATTGTCGATAGCCGCTTTACAGTTGCGAACCAGAAAAGTATCCTCATAGTTACCACGCTGAAAACCGAACCAGATCCATTAGAAACTACTTGAGAAAAGAGATCTTGCCATTTACAGCTCACCTGATAGAACACCGGAAAGAACTCGGCTCCATCTACTGCCTGATACAGTCCATCCAGAATTATTTGGTGCGGATTCGACATGGACTTAAATTGACCGCGATGGTGCACAGTGATCTCGTTCCAATTAAGACCCGGAACGCGATCGCCGTAACTATTGCAATTACTGAAGATCTTCTGATCAGGATAGTTTAGTTGGATTGGAAACGTTCCATCGCCAAAGTCCAGCACTCGAGTTTGGGCTGGCATTGCAAATCCGTTCTCTTGTGGTTCTATTTAATTATATTTTAAATCTTACGCCTGTAAACCAAGCCTTACGGCATCAGTGTTGAAAAACGTCGAATCTATCTTTCAAAAATGTATTTATGAGAGAAGGTCGATTTTATGGCTACAGGATATATTGACTGATGTAAGCAATATGTTATCCACAGCTTATAATTGTGTAACGTTGCCCGAAGATTAACTATCTTTCTCTGTCCATTATATTTAAATAAACAGAAACCTAAAGTTTAATTTCAAAACCGTTAACTAAAACTATAAAACTCTCTGCAGGGGTATAAGAGCGCCTTTAAAAATTCAGGTAAATTTTGACTATTCACTGCGAGATTCGTCGAAAAACTGACGTCCATAAGTGGCCAGATGTCAAACGAAGCATAATTTCTGCTTGCCTCGGCGATTTTTTTTCCAAGAAATTGAAACCCAAACAAAAATGGCTTCTTAACATAACAATTTTTAATCGTTTCGTTCGCTTAATGGCTACAAGTCTTTAGGAAAAGATGAGATGAGATGAGGTATGGAATCACTTCTTGGGCGTCTTCTTCTTGGCGCCAGTATTGGCCTCCTTCTTTCCCTGGTAGAGACCCGTATAATAGCCGGACATGTACCAGGCCGTCAGCATGGCCACGAAGTCCTGTTCGGCACCGTCGCCCTGGCCAGCGATCATAGGCGGCACCGGTGGCATTGGGGGCATCACCAAGCCAGCGGAGCCTCTCCCCTTTCCAAAAGGTTTGGGATTTTTAGAATGGCCAGCAGTGGCTGGGGAAGCCTTAGAGCGGCCCGGCTGTTCGTCATTCTCCTTCTTGGCAATGAGGAACTGCTCGCGACGTGCCCGCTTGCCCCAGGAGGGAAGCAGGTCCAGGAGCAGCACCTCCTGCTCGTTTTCATAACCCAAATAGCGGATGACGCAGGTGCCCTTCTCCTCGTTAATCGTCATCACGGCGCCCTCATAGTCCAAGCCATCTACGTAGGTGGCCCTGGCGTAGTCGCCCACCTTAAAAGACAGCGGCTCCGGGCTATTGGGCCCGCCAGTGGCCGAGTCCTCGCCAGCTTCTTCGGTGGCGGCGTTCTCCTCCTCCCGCTTGTTAGTGGAATCGGCCAGGCGGCGAGCTAGTGCCTCGCGGGCTAGTCCCACGGACTCATCGTACGTCTTTACCAGCAGGGAGTCATCCCACACGGCGGTGTTTCCCTCTTCAGACATCTTGGTCAGCCTATCACGTTTCTTAAAGGGGGAAGGTAAGCTTCGGCTTTTGCTGTTTGGCGTATTTGTATAGTGTTGGGTATCGCGGATAATCTACCTGGTCGCAATGCAACTATCGCCTAGAGATGCACAAAAAGGTATGGCACAAAGCTAACTTTTGAATGAATTAAGAATATTCCTTCAGCAGGCACGTTTACAAAGAAATAAACCAATTATTTGCTAAAACTAAAAACCGTTATAATTTTGTTTTCATAAATTAAATTTAAAACCATTTAGTTTTTAGTTCCTATCGATATTTTTGTTTACGAATAACTGCTGCGGTTGAAACAGGATCGATAGATACACGCAAATATCGATGGCACCTCCTCTAAACCGACGACAAGTATCATATCTAGCAAAAAGCGAAAATCATCTTGCATCCCGCAAAGAATAACTGAAAAACAATGGCCAATGTGGAAGGACTTTACAAGGAACTGACCGCCGAATGGGCGAAGCGACCACCAAACACCGCCAGATGTGGCCAACTTCTGGATCAACTGAAGGTAGCCCTGGTGAAAATGGCCTTTCTGCCCACGGACGGAAACGACGCACAGAGTTCCAAGAAACAATTGTTGCTGGCTAGGAGTGTCCTCGAGGTCGCCGTGGAGCACAGCGTACTTACCAAGGATCTCCTTGCCTTCGAGCGCTATATGGCGCAGCTAAAGTGCTACTACTATGATTACGCGAAAATCATTGGCGAATCGGAGAGCAAGTACAAGCTGCTGGGCTTGAATTTGCTTTACCTTCTGTCCGGCAACAGGGTATCCGACTTCCACACAGAACTGGAATTGCTCTCTGTGGATGTCATTCAGCACAACCAGTTCATCCGCCCGATCCTGGCTTTGGAGCAATACATAATGGAGGGGCGCTACAACAAGATTTTCCAGGCCAAATCAACCGTGCCCGCCGAGGTTTATAGCCACTTTATGGATTTGCTCGTGGAAACTGTGCGCGACGAGATTGGTGCCTGCATAGAGAAATCATACGACAAGATTTCTGCCAAAGATGCGGCCAAGCGGCTTAACCTGCGCGTTCCTGACGAAATTAAGGCCTTTGGCGAGAAGCGCCAGTGGAAGTTGGAAACCAACGGCGAATATAGCTTCACGGACCGCAGCGTCAAGCCGAAGGAGCTTCTGCCATCTGAAGAACTAGCCGAGCAGGTGCTCAGCTACGCTCGGGACCTCGAGATGATAGTCTAAGTTAAAAGAGAAAAGCTTACACCTTTTAATTTTTGGTTAAGATACACCGGCTTAAAGTTAATAATAAAAATAAAATAAAGCTAAACGCTTAAAAATAATTTGAATAGTCAGTAACATCAGTACAAAACAATCTTGACTGTTGATTATTAGAAATCACAAGTAATATTTTGTAGCTGCCAAAGGAATAATGTCTCAAATATTTAAATAATTTTACCGATATTTCCCAAATTCTGTGACTAGATACAATTTCTTTTTATTAATTGGTGTGACCGTGTTCGGACGTATTGAAATTGGGCTTTGTGCAACCTGCTGCGACAGCCACACTAGCGCGACCGACCTGCGGAGTAAAAATTTTCGCTCTGCGAATATTTGTAAAAGCATTGCTTAAAAAGCAAATAGAAGAAATTTTAGCATAATCGACGCCATGGCCTGCAACGCTAGCAAGACGACGCTCCTGCGCGCCATCGCCGTAAGTCTCGACTTAACCAACAAAAGTTACGGCAGCGAATCCAACCCAAACGGGAAGGCTCGTGTTACGTAAATCCAAAGTTGCAATCTAAACAATGCCAAATGTTTTATGCATTATGACAATCTCATCATATTTTTCGGCAGAAACGAGGCTATGCCACCTGCCCGCGTCCCGTGGGAGACCTGTCCGCCGTGAACGTCAAAGTACTGGAGAACAAACTTGTGGTGGCCACCGCCGATGCAACTCTTCCCGTTTCGCGCGTGTCCCTGGTGCTGGGGTAAGTATTTTATCCAGTGAATGATCTCCAATGTAAGGCTTACCCAATAATTGCAGAGCTGGATCCCGCAACGAGGCCTACGACACCCAGGGCGCTTCGCACCTGCTCCGCTTGGCCGGAGGATTGAGCACCCAGAACTCATCCGCTTTTGCCATCGCCCGCAACATCCAGCAGGTGGGCGGCACCTTGACCACATGGGGCGACCGTGAAGTCGTTGGCTACACCGTGACCACCACCTCGGACAATGCCGAGACCGGACTGCGCTACCTGCAGGACCTCCTGCAGCCGGCCTTCAAGCCCTGGGAACTGGTGGACAACGCCAAGACAGTAGTCAACCAGCTGAACGCCGTTTCCACAGAGGTGAGAGTTTATAGCGCTTTCTTATAGAAGTCAATTTGACTGAGCTGCTAATATTGGGCAATACCTTTATGATTTACAAATTCATAATAAATCCTTGTATTTTACAGCAACGCGCTATAGAGCTGGTACACAAGGCCGCCTTCCGCAACGGACTGGGCAACTCGATCTACTCGCCCCGCTTCCAGCTGGGTAAGCTGTCCTCCGAAAGCCTGCTGCACTACGTCGCCCAGACCTTTGCCGCTGGTCGTGCTGCCGTCGTGGGCGTGGGCATCGATAACAACACTTTGGCTGGCTTCGCCCAGACACTGCAGTTCCCCAGCGGTGGCGGCAAGCCTTCTTCGGCCAACTGGTATGGTGGTGATGCCCGCAAGGACACTTCCGGTCATCGTGCCGTCGTCGCCGTTGCTGGACAGGGCGGCGCCGCCTCTAACCACAAGGAAGCGCTGGCTTTCGCCATCCTAGAGCAGGCTGTTGGCGCCAAGGCGGCCACCAAGCGAGGCAACTCGGCTGGACTCTTCGGCGAGGCCGTCAATTGCGCCGGCGGCACTGGTGCCTCGGTTAAGGCTCTGAACGCCAGCTACTCGGATGCCGGTCTGTTCGGCTTTGTTGTGTCCGCTGATGCCAAGGATATCGGCAAGACCGTGGAGTTCCTGGTGCGCGGCCTTAAGTCCGCTTCGGTGTCCGATAAGGATGTGGCCCGCGGTAAGGCTCTGCTGAAGGCGCGCATTATCTCGCGGTACTCGTCGGACGGCGGTTTGATCAAGGAGATCGGTCGCCAGGCGGCGCTTACCAGGAATGTGCTTGAGGCAGACGCTCTGCTCAGCGCCATCGATGGTATCTCGCAGTCGCAGGTTCAGGAGGCGGCCAAAAAGGTAGGCAGCTCCAAACTGGCTGTTGGAGCCATTGGGCACCTGGCTAACGTGCCCTACGCCTCCGATTTGGCTTAAGTAGATAAACACCTCTGTACATCTGTTAAACGTAATGTAACGACTAAATAAACCTGTTGAAGGAAACGACACGCGAAAGTAGATACTTATAAATCCTATTTTAATTGGTGTATAAATAATCAAGCTTTGGGTTAACGACAGGAAACATATACGGAAATTACGAATAACAACTGGAATAAATGGGGCGGCCATTAAACGAAGACCACCACGATTATGGCGACAAACAAGGCGATAATAACCAGCCAGTAGCCCCAGGTGCTGTCACGTCGGTTGACCTGTCCTATGCTCTGAGTTTCCCGCTGCACACCCGTCTCCACGCGGTCCATGGCATTGGCCAGGTTGTCCAAAATGTCTGCAAAGTAAGAGAACTTAGCAATGGCCAACCGGAAAGTTAAGCGTACCCACTGTTCTGGTCCTCTACCTCGTTGCCCAGTTGGGTAGCCAGTTGGCGCTGCCTGGACAAAGTGGCAGATAAAACCTCCAGTCCTTGGTTTTGCTGCTCCAGCATCTCGATCTTTCGCTGCTTAAGCGTTTCGACGTCCAATGCTGTAGAATCTCGTGTAGGGTCACTCTGACCAGGGCCGAGGTCTTGGCCCTGCCAAGCGGATCCGGAGGCGGCGGCCACGACATTGGAGCGTGAGCTGTTGGCAAAGTTCCTGCGGATCTCCCGCACCTGCGATGTAAGGCGATCCCAGTCAATACGACGCTGCTGCAGCTCTTCCTCCGGACTAGTTTCCCAGGTGATAGCATTGTCCAACACCACTTTTAAATGCTTCATGTCCTTCTCCAACTGTTCCAGACCGGAATTTACACTGGTGGTCAGTTGGACATATTGACTCTCCCGTGGATTCAGTTGCTGCCGCTGGTTAAGTTGAACCAACAACTGATGCCGTAGACGCTCGCATCCCTCGTACTCGATATCCCAGGAGTCATGATCTACTAGCGCCATTTGTCCGGTATAGGCTTTGAGTAATGTGGTTACAAATAAAAAACAAAGAACTACGCCTCAAGGAAGCCACAGAACAACAACATTTGGAGAGCAACAGCTGATTGGTGATTTATCTTATGGTCAAGCGATGAACAAGTGCAAGGTCACACTAATTTTTAAATAATATTTTAAAGGAAATATTCCGGTTTTGTAACTCGTCAAATCTTTTGTTGATTATAATGTCACAAAAAATTGTGATTTTTAACTTCTAGATTATTGGTAACAAGTTTTTTTTCAAACGTATTAATTAACAGTTTGTTTTCAGTTATCTCTACCAGTATCAACACTTTGTTTTTAAGTCCTTAGTATTTTTTTAATTTTCTTTTTTAACGCTTAGTCTGGGCACTCGGAAAGACCTTTTTTTATTCCGAAATTACACCCAAAATTAGAAAATGTGTTCCAAATTGCTTCCTGTTTTTTTGCTGTATTGCGGTCGCCGAGCATTTTCTATCTGCTCAAAAGTGCATTCTATCCCCACAAGTAATAAAATGATCAGTAGGCACTTGCTGAAGGTTCCAAAACTTTATTCACAGGAAAAGAACCTTGTAACGCAAATTGTTATTCGGCACACTAGAGACAGATTCTACATCGATTTGAATGGACATCGAGCGGAGTTACTATATTCCATGAATGGGGGAGTGATGACCATAACGAGTACCAAAGTCCCGAAAGAACTGGGAGGTCAGGGCATCGGAAAGCTTTTGGCGAAGGCGGCACTGGACTACGCACTTCTGAATGGTCAATTTATTATCATCAAGTGCCGATTTGTGCAACATTATATTGACAAATATGAACCTCAATACGCTCAATACATAATTAACTAAGGAAGCTGATATTTGGACTGACAAAATTAGCAACATTTTTTATATATATTTTTTCTATATCAGAAAAATTGTTTTTTTTGTACATTTCTGGGCGTTAGGTTGTTTTGTTTTAAATACCAGCTCCTAGGTATGACCAGTCCTAACACAAATAAGCATGGGGCCAGACCGCATACGATAGTTGTGACCGGCAAAATAAACAGTCACGACATCGATTTGGTGACACAATTCACCCACACACTTGCAAAGTGGAGCGATTGCTGTGACTTGAACATAAGTACTTAAGAAACTTAAGTTGTATATAAAGGATGTTAGACACTGTAAGTACCGCTTATAAGGCTCCAACTTCCGAGGGCTCTTAAAAAAATCGCGGCAATGCGTGACATCCCGCCAAAGCCGTGACTAGTCACTACTCGCGGCAAGTAACAGGTACGCAACTATCGTCCATCCCTAACTCACACGTACACACAATTTCGTCGTGATTTCTATTTTATTTGTTTCAAATTACAATCAAAAACGAAACAAACCGCGATCGAAACCGCTGGCCACAATGTCTATTTCGTGCTTAACCGTGCGCGAGCTCTCCCATTAAACGGAAGCGACGGCGGCCACCGTTTTAAGCGTTTTCCGACCGGGAGTGGGATCGGAAAATCGGCAGCTGGGCAAGCCATCAGTCCACAGCAAAATTGGGATATATTTAGGAATATAGTTGCACATACCATATTAATTCGGGGCCAGTAAAATGGAGCGGCGCGTCAAACTGAAGACGATCAATCCGCACATCACGTGCAAAATCTGCGGGGGCTACTTCATCGACGCCACCACAGTGACGGAGTGTCTGCACACATGTGAGTAGTTTGGCCCAGCATGGCACCACCTGCCCACTAACGGCCCGTGTTTTACCCTTCCAGTCTGTAAGAGCTGTTTGGTGAAGCACCTGGAGGAGAAGAAGACCTGCCCCACCTGCGACAACATCATCCACCAGTCTCATCCCCTGCAATACATCAGCTTCGATCGCACCATGCAGGACATTGTGTACAAACTGGTGCCGAAACTGCAAGAAGGTTCGTATTTTACCCTTGCGTTTCATACTTCCCAATCTTAGCTCATCGTGTACTTGCATTCCAGATGAATCGCGCCGGGAGCGGGACTTCTACAAGAGCAGGAACATGCCGTGCCCCAAGGACATAACGCAAAACCACGAAGACGACAACGAGAAGGTGATGGACGCCCACGCCGAATCCGACTTCCATCGCCTGGACGAGCAGGTGAACGTGTGCCTGGAGTGCATTAGCAATAACTTCAAGAACCTGCAGAGGCGCTTCATCCGCTGCAGTTCGCAGGCGACGATAACGCACCTCAAAAAGCTGGTGGCCAAGAAGATTCTCAACGGAATTGAAAAGTACCGAGAGGTAGGTTGTAGCTAAAAACATTGCCGTCGCTTCTGTTCCTGTTTCCGCTATTGTATCGTGACAGTTTCATGAACTGAAACCTAAAATTAAAAATAATCGACCATAAGTGGAAAGAGGAACAAATGTATACTCTTTGTATCTTCTATATTGTAAACACATGTTGTCTTACAGATCGACATTCTGTGCAACGAGGAGCTGCTTGGCAAGGATCACACGCTCAAGTTCGTCTACGTGACGCGCTGGCGTTTTCGAGATCCACCGCTCCGGCTCCAGTTTCGTCCACGGGTTGAGCTCTAACCACTGTTTTAGTATAATGCCACAACAAATGATCTATTTTTATAATTTATTGACAAAGCGTAAATATCGTAATTAGGAGAGAGTCGCTAGTGTTAATCCCCCTGAAAACCATGAGTGTATGTGTAAATGTGCATGTATAAAGTCTTAAAAATGTGGTTATCCCTCCTAGGATTAAGTAAACTTCCCTTCCGAACTCGTGTGTGACCCCTTTTGTTGCCGTCTTCTCGCTGCATTTGCTCATGATTTAATCAATATTCTCAGTTTGCAATATTTTTTGTTCTCCTTAGTTTCAAATATACATATGTATTTATTATTTTAATGTACAAAACACACGAATGTAAATAAAAATGTAATTATGTCGAATGTTGTATATCTAATTTGGTGGTTGCCACGCGTTTCTATAGCCGAATCGAGGTGCTCCCAGGAATGGGGGTCGATGTCGGAATCTGTAGGAAGCAGGCTGGAACGGTGGAGGACGTGGTGGCCGCTGGTACCCAAATCTTGGCGGTGGCCCCATGGCATATGCTCCATACATACCCTGGAAAATAAGCCACAATTAGATGGTGGTCAATTTAGGTCTCTTCTAGCAGAGATTAAATATCAGTTACAATGAAAAAATTAAAACCTCTAGAAACTCCTAGTAAGCAGAATCTTTAAAATGTAAACATTTGAATAATAATCTCATTTCAATGTTACAAACAAATATAATTTAACTTATAAGACTAAAGTCCTCTGCAAATCAGGTTAACGAGCACACAATCTCTGCAAGATCTTGTTAAAAGTGCCTTCCATTATTCTACTAACGTAAAAGTCCTGTGCTGGCACTTGCACATAGTAGTTGATGATCTTTGGCGGCGGATTGTAGCGACGAGGGCTCCTTTCTCGGTGTCTCCGTTCGCTGCTGCGACTTCGGCTGCGATTCCGACTTCTCGAGCGCTGGCCATGTCTTCTGTGCCTGCTCTCCCGCTCATATGACAGGGATCTGGATCGGGACCGTCGGGTGCGTCTGGGGGAACGGGAAGACCTTTGCCGCAACCTCCTGACTCGGTCCCGTTCCCGGGCAACATCCGCGAAATAGGGAACCTTCGGCTCCTCCCGTTTCCGCTCCCTTTCCCTTAGTCGACCATGGTTCTCCCTTTCTCGACCGGACCGGGACCTGGATTCGTGAAAATCTACGTGGAAAGAGACGGATTAGTCACTCCAGTTAAAATGTGGTCCGTGAGGCTTCTTTGGAGTCCACGAAGAGCCCATTTGGGCGTCCAATTGATTTAGCTTCTTTGTCTGCTCGTCCTGCATTTGTTTTTTTCCATTTCACTTTTCACACAGTTTGGCACTAGAAAAAAAACAACAAAAAGAAAAAAAAACATTGTATGCACTCAGTCGTTTCTAATCAGAAAACCTAATATATTTATACCTCGGTGCACGGATCCACTGCTGTCGGCGTCCATTTTCACTTGTTTTTATTTTTATTAAATTCCCCTTCTTCGATTACTTTTTATTGGTTGTCGATAAGAAATCTTTTTGTCCAATAGAGAGCGCTTTCGCCAAACTGTTGGCTAACAGAAATTCTTAACAGGCTGTAGCGAGTGCAGCAACCAGAGTCAGACTCCATGTACGATCAGGTTTGAATGGCAGGATCTTTTAATTTTGGAAATCATGCTGACATTTGTGATGTTTGCAATGGTTTATAAGCTTGTTTCCTTTCGTTCCAAAATTAGTTTATCTAAAGCCCAAAATAAAATTTTTTTTAAAAAGCGATGGGTCAGTATCGCCGATGTATGTATACTCGTATAGTATTTAAAAACGAAGTTAAATAACTTAGCTGATCAAAGTTTTGACTCAGGAGAAATAATAAAGCGTTACTTTTTATTTGAGCACAATTAACTTATAAAGAAAAAAGAAGCATAAACTACACAGTTAACTGATGTGCCTATTATTCTCTATTATTCTTAGGACATTTGTGCCAATCTTCTATAAACGGTTTCATTTCAATATTTCACGGAAGTACAAAGCAAATTTTTCCTCAAACAATTCTGGTAGTACAAACATTTCGATCGAAAACACAATTAGCAGGCACAAAAAGGATTTAAAACTTAAAACTGAGTGGCACATTGATGCGCTCGTTTTCCATAGAAACCACGATGACCGGCTCCTTCTCGAGCAAATCACGTCTGGGCGAGCGCAGGAGACGCACATCGATCTCGGCCTGACCTCCGTCCGGTCCCGCATAGCACTCGGTGGGACTGATCCTCACCAGATCCGGAACACTGCAGCTCACTTCGATGAGCTGCCTAGAACGGAAGCAGTTCGTCACGGCCAAAGTGGCCAGGGATCCGCAGCTGGATCCGAACTCCAGCGAAGCGGGTTCCACAGACCAATTCTGCTCGACGGGCATTAAGGTGGTGGTGTCCGCCTCCAAGAGCTCATCCACTGGCTCCAGCATATTGCTCTGCGTTGGCGTTGGTGAACTGGCCACACATATCGTTCGGAATAGCACCGTTTCCTCGGCCTCCGGCAAAAACATCAGCGAACTTTCGGAGGATTCATCAAAATCCCGATTTAGCGTTAGCGCCACATCGATTATCCGCACCACGGTGACCAAGTCCAGGATGAACTCGGGCGGTTCGTTGAGCTGTCCGATATTGCGCACCGGCTGCTCATCCGGAAACTCGCCCCAGATGCTGTCCAGCATCGGCGAAGTGAGCTTCTCCCTCTGACGACTGCTCATGCGCTGAACGAGGCTGCGCATGCGCTGTCTGTTCGGCTCATCTCCGCAGAAAATCCGCATGTTGGCCAGCGTCAACACCTGGGCGGTTTTCTTGAGAATGTTTTTCAAGTCTTCGCGGTTCGGACGAAAGAGGATCTGGACGCTGCCCTCGCTATTCGGTGGCAGGATCATCCGGCTGGGACGCACCTCGAACGCCTCGCTCAGGCGCAGTTTCATCAGCACCGTGGAGTCCACTGAAATGCCCACAAAGGCGGTTAGGGGTCCCTTGTTGTGGAACCTGAGGCTCGCCGAAAGAGGACCGGCGGATAGCTCACATACGTCGCCAATGGTGAGGAAACTAGCGCCCACCGGTCCTTTCAGCAGACCCTGTATGGTGATGGATGCACTGCCGCCATAGCCGTACAGCGGAATCTCCAGGCCTGGCTGAGTGCTGTTGTGGGCTCCTGCCGGTGCATAGAAGGACAAGGATCCGATAGCCGCTCCACACACTGTGGGGCAGAAGTTAATCACCACCGAACGACACTCCATGGCCTGCAGAGTAATGGTGTTGCTGTCGCCGCCGACGAGCTGGAAACCGGGTCCCTGGATGCCCAGCCGGATGACAAGTCGCTTGTCAGCCGTGTTCTTCACCTGCATGGACTTGCGCACATCTGTTCGCAGCTTTGTGCTGCCCCAGCAGAGGCTGGTGTGGGTCACCTTCAAGGGGAGCAGCTTGCCATCGCGGTGACTGAACTCGCTGGAATTGGAACAGCGCGACATGCTGCGAGGCGCAGTGGAGGAGCTCGAGCCCGGTCCACGTCTTACGCTCGTTGTAAATCCACTGGTGGAGCTCGCCTCACTGCCCGCCTGCGAGGAGTTGGCCTTGCGTGCCACTCCGTTCATCAGCTGCCGGCGCTCGGAATTGGTGGTGCTGTCCAGCAGCGGCGATGAGACACAGCTCCTCGGCGAAGACATGGGCGATAGGTTCTTGGCCAGATTCGGGGAAATGCCAAAACTGCGCTCAGTGGAAGAGGCCACTGCCACATCGCAGCCATCCAATCGTGTGCTGCTCAAGGAGGAGGGGTTGCGGGGCATCAGGCCCATTGTGGATATAGATACCCTCTTCTTCTGGTTCACCGGCGTCTTGTCCTCGTCCTCGTTTTCGTCCTCGGTGCTGGTAAGTGGACGTACACCTTCGCTGCTCGCCGGACTAGCGGCTCTTGGGGAGATCTTAGTGCGTCTCACCCGGCGATTGGGTTCTTTTACCGGCGTCGACGGCCACTCGTCGATGTCTGCCTCGCCTTCCGTCTCCACGGGATCGGTGTCCGCCCGGCTGATGGTGATCTGTGGCTGGTCCGCCAGCGGACTGAGCGGTTTGCGCGAGATGCTCTGCTGTAGGTGACGAAAGTCCGTGGAGTTCAGAACAGAATCGGTGAAACTCATCGTGTCCGTGAGTTTGTTCGAGCCGCATAGAGTACGCTCCGCTTGGGAGCTGCTGTTCCGGTTTTCCTTGTTCTCCTCATCACCGTAGGTGTTTCCGCGGCCATGCTCCCACAAGTGATTGACCACCTCAACCGTGGACGTGTCCGAATTCAAATCAATGTCCCTCAGCGCTTTGTCAATGGCCGAAAGACTCAAGATCTCGGATTTTGAAGGCGACCGCTTGGGTTCTTGGTTCCCATGTTTGTTGCTGGCCTTCAACACCGTCTGAATCCGATCTTTCTGCATCTTTTGCATAAGGTTGCGTCCCAGATTTGAGCCGACATTGGCATCCGACTTGGTGTAGGTCTTGTTGTCTGGCTGCGGAGTCTTTTCGCCCACGGAGTCCAGCGTCTTGTTGCCTTCCGCTTCGATCAGAGCTTGAGTGGGACGCACGCGATCCGGACTGCCGTCAGTTACTATGTTCCAGATGTTCTCCGAGCGCGTTTGGAAATAGTTTCCCAGCGAGAAGTCCGGATCATTGACCAAGACGGAGCTGTAAGCATGAATATAATTGTATTATTTGTTCTTAACTTGGGTTTCCTTTGCTTACTTGGACACAGAGGTTTCTATTGCAGATGTGGGCGGCGGGGCGGCGATCTTCTGCATTGCCTGATTGCTCAATGTGGCCGTCGGCATGGCTGTGAACTCCTGCGCCCATGAGATTTCGCCAAGCACCAATTTGGACTGCATCAATTCGGCTGGGGCGAAGCTCTCGTCCTGGCCAGCGGCCGCAAGCGAGGCAGATCCAAAAGAAATACCCCCGCCGCCATTGAGGCTGAGGTCACTCATGTCCGCGGTGCGCGGTAAACTGCGAGAGCAGCTAAACGAGTCCGTGAGGCTGCTGGAGTTCGCCCTCGATAAATGGTAACTGGCCTCCAGCTGGCTGACATCCTGCAGCTTCTTCTCGAGCTGTCGAGCCTTCTCCACAAACGAGGACTTGAGAATCTCGGCAACGGACAGCGATGGCTTCTCACGACGGCGATGTTTGTCCCCCTTGCAGAGTGTAGATCTTCCGGTGATCTCGGCGGGCTCAAAGGAGATGTTAGTGCCCTTAGGTGCGGGCGTGGCAAGGGCAAAAGATCCGCTGCTGTTCAGGTCGATGGTCTCGTCAGTAACCAGCTCCGAGATGTTTGTGGAAGAGCGTCTTGGGGGAACGGTGCCAGTGCTTCTTGCTTGGCTGGGACGCAAAGGTCGTGGCTTCTCAAGTGTTTCCAGGGCACGCAGTCGCTCCTCCCGGAGGCGCTCGTGTATACTGGAAGAGTCCCGCGTGGCCGTGCTGCGCCTGTCACTCTTACTAAAGCTGGACAAATCGCCAAAAACTGCGAGGACTCTGAGTTATTTCCTGTTTTTAAATTGCCTAACCGTCCTTACCCTTAAGGTTGTCCATGTTGAGGATGCCCAGCGAGTTCTGGTCCATGTAGCTTCTGTTTCCCTGGCTTCCGTTGCTCTTGTCCATTCTGCTTTGTTCGTTTACAGTTAGCGCAAAACCGCGCTAAGAAGAACAGGAAAGAGCCTAAACAAGAAGGACGCGCCTTTTTTGGTTCAAAAATGGACGGCGTTAGGCGATAATTCCTGGCCTGCACGCACAATCAGAGTTGCTTTCGATAACTTGTCTTTTTAAATGTTGAGTTTGACCCTGTTTGCACTTTTTATTTCATTAAACTTTTGTAAGCACACAAATTAACATGTTCAGCATATAGTCTGAAAAATAAATTGAAAAAAAAGTTATTTAAAGCAGTGAGAAAAAAGCAAAACGTGCAACGCTAAACCCGCTCCAGCCCTGGTCACATTTTTGCGAATTCTCCCCGGCTTCTTCCCACTTTACGATTCCGCTCGTCCGATTTCGGCGGTGTTGATTTATCCCGGACTGTATTTGATTTTATTTTGCTGAACACACAACCGGAAACTCCCCAACGATGGAGGCAGCTGTTTTGAAAATAATTGATGGACTCCTGAAGATGGGAACGACGGAGTCAATTCGCCAGGTGAGAAGGGCGGACAAACAAGGCGATCGGGCGGTAAAAAGGGGGTTATCCTGTCCGCCCTTTTGAAAACTTTTCTTGATATTTACACCTTTTTTATACTTATCCGCTTTCCTCCCGACCACGTTTGAAAAATAGAATATTTTTCTAATTTTCCTCAACTCCAATACATTGGCTTTTAAATCGGCATGTGCACATTCCTATACAAATGTATGTATGTACATACATACGTGCAAATGTTTCTATTGCACAGTGGGTCGCAGCCAAAATAAAACTTGCTACAATTTATAAACGCTTAGCAAAAATGGAAGAAGCTAACTTTTCATTATGTTTTTGAATTAGGATAAATTAAAATATAAATTACGTAAATATGTTCGAAGAAATACATAAGGTATGCTCTTCTTGGTTCCCCAATAATATTCCTATAATTATGTTCAAAGAGTGTAAAAATATATGGTAGGTCACGTCTCTATGCCACTCGAAAGCACGTTGTCCACATGGACGCACACTTTAGCACTTCCTAATTGAGAAATTATTTATGCCGAAAATATGTAGATACATACTTACATCCATATGTATGTATTTTGTCATTCCTAAGAGGATTAATAAAATACCGTCTTTCCCGCACATTTAGGCTACTGCCGAATTGATGAAGGCGTACGAGAACCCCGAGGCCCTTTTATGTCTTACCCAGATCGTGATGTCCAACGAGGACGTCCAGAGGCGTACGTATGCAGCCGTGCTTCTTCAAAGGCGACTCAAAAAGCTTCGCTACTGGCAAGTAGTTCCCGCCGACCATCAGGCAGCGTAAGTACATTGATCACCTCTAAATAAACGCAGTCCAATAGTAAATATGCCTTAACTATTCAGGATTAAATCACGAATGTTGCAAGTGCTTGTAACGGAGAAGGAGAGGGGCGTGAAGAAACAAGTGGCCCAGTTGATCGGCTCCTTGGTGCGTCATGAGGCGGAAAAGGAGGACCCCTGGATGACGGAACTGCTTAAGTTCATTTACGAACGGTGCAGCAGTCGCGATCCAAAGGAGAGCGAGCAGGGCTCGTCTATCTTTGCCGAGTTGGTTGACTCTGCTCCGGACCAGTTTGCCCTCCATATGGAGGCCATCTCCCAGTTGTTTGCCAGCATTCTGTTAAATGCCGAGGCCGCTGGCGACATGGCAACACCCACCGTTTTGAATATGTTGGTGGCCACAAGTTGTCTGCTGCCATTTGTCAGTGGTCACAGTGCCGCCGAGCAGACGGTGATCAAGACAATACCACTGATCATCAAGGCACTCAACGCCTTCGCCCAAAAGGGAGATTCTCACCAGTTCATGAACGCGTTTGAAATCGTTGACGGCATGGTCGAGTTTGTGCCACATCTGCTGACCAACAACGTGAAGCCGCTACTCGAATTTTGCCTGATCACAGCGGGCGACAATAAGCTCGATGAGTCGATTCGTGTGCAGGTGATTACCTTAGTGGGAAGCCTGGTGCGGTTAAAGAAAAAGGCAATCGTAAAACAAAAATTGCTGGAGCCAATTCTAGGCGTTTTATTCCAAGTGATGTGTCAGGACACCGAAGACGACGGTTGTATTATTTTCTACTTTATTTGATTGCTTAAGTTTGCTTATTGGTTCCATTATTGCTTTCAGCTGAGGATTATTTCGCCGGGGAGAGTGCTAACAGCCCGGCGAGCACGGCCACGCAGACTCTGGACCTTATGGCCCTCCATTTGCCGCCGGAGAAGTTCATTCCACCGCTGCTGCAGCTGCTGGAGCCGTCATTGCAAAGTGCAGATCCAAATTGTCGGCGGTCCGCGTTCATTTGCATGGGCGTCATTGCCGAAGGTTGCTCAGAGGCCATCAATAACAAGTATCTGGAAGTCATGCTTAACATCGTCAAAGCAGGAATTACTGACACTACCATGTTGGTGCGGGTCGCCGCATTCTACGCCCTCGGTCAATTTGCCGAGTTTCTGCAGCCAGCGATCTCCAAGTTTGCGCCTCAGATTTTGCCGGTGCTGTTTGACTATTTGAGCCAGTTGGTTGTTGAACTCAAGGTAGGTTTTGTCTTAAGCCAACTATGGCCAAATTTGTATCTCTATTTTACATTCTCGTTTATTTGTTTGTGCTGCTTCCAAAGGCTGGCCAGAACAGCAACGGGAGCGATCCCGCTTCCGTCCCTGCCAGAGATACGATAATGTACTTGAACAAGTTACAGATCAAGCGCAAATCGATCCTCACCAAGTATAGGGTGCTTTTTCATTGTATTTCTTTTCACTTTGATATTTAATTGCACACATCAACTGCCTCATATGCATTAATTCATTTCAAAATTCATTTTTAAGCCATTTTTAATAGCTACTAAAATGAAAAGATTACATGTTTAGGGAGATAGACATCTCTCAATAAGCCCAAAGTGTCCGATTCCTTCAGCCTTATATTAAATCTTCTGGTCTCAAGCTTCATTTCACTTTACACTCGCTCTGCACAAAAATTCAAAGATAGAATCGACTTAACCCGAGTCCTTGCAGATGGGTCAGCCGGAACCAAAACACATGGAACGTATGTTCTACGCCTTGGAGACCTTCTGCGAGAATCTGGAGGAGGACATTGTGCCCTATCTGCCCGTATTAATGGATCGGTAAGACGAGACTCAAAAAATATTGACAAACTTTGTAATAATGATTTTCATGCACAGTCTCTTTGCGGTCTTGGAACCACAGAACTCGGTTCACATTCGAGAGCTGGCACTGTCGGCCATCTCGTCGACATCAAGTGCCGCTAAGAAGCACCTGATGCCGTATTTCCCCAAAATCATGTCTATACTGCAGGCCTGTCTGGTCAAGGAGTGTCCCGAAGAGATGAATAACTTGCGCATCCAAGCCATCGACACTCTGGCCGCTCTGTGTCGCGAAGTGGGTAAGGAGAACTTCATTGGGTTGGCCGACGACACGATGAACTTCTGCCTGATGATGCTGGCTGAGGGTCCTGACGACCCGGACTTCCGTCGATCTATCTACAACTTGATGTCCGCCCTGTCCTCCGTGGTCAACGAAAGCATGGCCACCGTGTTCCCCAAGATCATGTCCAGGATAATGGAGTCGGTGATCTCCTCAGAAGACGTACTGCCCATTGTGTCTGACAATGCCGACTCAGATTTTCCGGATCCGGCCAATGTGGAAATTGATCTGTCGCATACGGACGACGAGGACGATGAGGAGGACTTGGACTGCTACCAGGTGGAGAACGACTACGTAATCGAGAAGGAGGAGGCGATAATGGCACTCAGGGAATTCGCTGCCAACACGGGTTCCGCATTCGCACCCTACTTGCAGTCGGCGTTTGAGAATGTTTACAAGGTGATTGACCATCAGCAGGATGAGATACGCAAAGCATGCGTGGATGCCATTTGCGGATTTATAATCGCCGTTAACAAAATGGGCGATACTGCTGGAGTGACGCGCGCCTGTGAGATTGCCATTCCGAAATTCGCACACATCATTCGCACCGACGACGAGGTGTCCGTCGTATCTCACGTGCTCGACGTGATCTGCGATCTCTTTAAGGATGTTAAATTAGCTGCCATAACTAATCAGGAAAACGCCGATTTAATCTTCGGTTGCATCAGGGATGTGTTCGCCAACAAAATGGCCTGTCAGTTCAACGAGCAGAGCGGCGGCGGTGATGAGGAGGATACGGAGGGTAGCGAGTACGACGAGATGCTCATCGAAAACGCTGCCAACCTTCTGCCCGGATTCGGCGCGGCACTTCAGCCGGAGGCGTTCTCGCTGTATTTCAATCGCATCTACCAATTCTACTTGCAAAAGCTGGTAGGCAATCACACCAAACACCATTTTAGTTTCCAAGACATTATTAACATCAAAAATTTTTTTACAGGCAAAAGCCAAGAAACAAGATGCTCCGGATCACCGAGCATACATCTATGGATCTTTGGCCGACTGTTTTCAGCGTCTAGGCAATTGCACCGTGACCTATTTTGACAACCTGTGTCCGGTGTTCATTGCAGGAACCAAGGACTCCTATGCCAAGGCTCGACAGAACTCCTATTTCGCTCTGGGCGAGCTTGTGATCTTTGCCGAGGAAAAATCTTTCGAGTGAGTGAGAACGAAGAATAGACTGTTTCGGAACCACATTATATTTTTTATTTACAACTGCCATCCGTAGGTCATATCCGGCAATCTTGCAAGCCCTTTCCGAGGCGATCGGCAGGGAGTCGGAACCAGCTGCGATGGACAATATTTGCGGAGCAGTTGCCCGCCTAATTGTCACGAACCATGCGGGGGTACCGCTTGCTCAGGTTCTGCCCGTGTTTCTCAATCATCTGCCATTGAAGGAGGACACTGTGGAGAACGACATGATTCAAAAGGCATTCCGTGTGCTATTCTTGCAGGCTCGCACCAGCATTGAGAGTCATCTGGAGCAGATGCTGGTCATCACCATCGAATCGATTTACAAGGAACAGATGCCAGATGAAGAGAGCACCAAGAGCGCGGTGGCCTTTATCAACGAGGTTCGCGCAAACTATCCGGACAAGTTTAACGCCGTGTCCAATTCAAATCCGGAGGTGTTCAACTATGTGCATACTCTGTAAGCACCCACACACACGCAAAAACCAAACAGCAAAACACCCTGCATACCCACATTGCTAACCTAGCTAATTCACTCAACTCCTTTGCCCGCAGCCTTTGGTATCGGAGATGATAAATTTCTGATGAAGAAGCTTCAAATACGATTTGAATTGGGACAAGTTTAAAATGTTTTCTTTTTCGGTTAGTGTGCTTTTGCGGCGTTACAAGTTCAGAATAAGTGATCTTTAAAATTGCAAGTTGTAGTTTTTTCTACCAAGCCGAAAGAACCGGCGAACTGTTTTCTAATTTATAGCTACATCCAGTGACACATGAATATGTATGTATGAATAGTCTGAAATAAACGAAACAATAAAGAGTACATTTTGTTATTTAACTGGGTTGTTTCGCAGGCTGTTGCAAATGTGGTTAAATTTCAAGGAAGGATTAAAAGATTGAAAAATACATTTTTGTGATTCTCCCATAGTAAACAAAAAAATGCTTTTAATCATGAAAAAATATTTCCTTCTTTTTATGATTAGTGAGTTTTTAGTATAAAGCTCCTGGTTAAATTCCAATGGCCTCAACTTTTTATAATGTTGACGGATCAGCACAGGATTTTACCAGTGCGCATTCCGCTTGATGACAACCTCTCTTACAATGTCGGCGTGGTTGGCGTGCAGCTTCAAATCCGAGTTGACGTCCGTCCAACGCACATTGGAAGCATCGTCGCCAGCCATTAGCTCCAGTTGGCCCACTTGGCTACCGTCTTCATCATGGAAGTTGATGGCCGTGGTTTCCATCCACGCGTTATCTGTGTTACGGAAGTCGTCTACATATCCTTGGTAGACCTGAACTCCACCCTCGCGAAAGAACTGCTCCACCATGTTGGCCTTGTCGGTAAAGTTTAGAGCCTCCTCGGTGAATTCCCGCTTTAGAGTGACGCTCACGTTCTCGCCAGGATCGACCATGCCGCCGGGAATGGCCCACAGTTTGTTGTCCGACCGCTGGATGGCCACCATTTGTAAAATGTTCCTGAGAAAAGAGCGAGTGGGTTTTCAATGGTAGTTTATAGAAGATGGAGCTTAATTACTTTCCGCTGGTTGGGTTGGTTACAATGACTCCGTGGTCGTTTCGTTTCCAGCGAGTCACTATAGGATCAGCAGCATGGTTGGGTCCCCATCTTCCCAGTGATCCACGTCCACTTAGTCCAGTGCGTCCGATTGGATTCAGGGGCAGCCCACCCTGCACTTTGTAGGCGCCGTGGAAGGACTCTCGGTTTACCTGACCATCCAATTGATTCCACTGAGGCCGGAACGTTTCGCTGGACAGGGGAGGATCGGCCCAAACCTGGCCGCCAATATGTGGAGATGTGTAGTCTGGTGGGCAGTAATCCGGATACGGATTCGACCAGAAGACTTGCTCGTCGGAAACAGGAAAGCGAAGGATGGAGCTGCGCGGGTACATGTTGGTGCGGCACATTAGATGCCGGAAGACGCCCGGCTTTACCAGCGAGGACATCATCTGGGCAGACATTAGGGAGATTTCCAAGGACAGTAGAAAACAAAGAAGCAAGCGCGCAAATTGGGAACTTGTCATCGGACTGAATTCTCTCTTACAAACAAACTTTTTTGTTTATGTGCACCTGCGGTTATTAAAACAGCTCTGAAAATAACAACTTTACATTTGTATATAAAATTAGTTAAAAATCGTCACAATATCTAAAAACAATTACTCATCATCACTTATCACTGTTAAACAAAAGAACCAAATTTAATTTACATTAGTTCCAGTGCTATTAAATTAACCCATGGTGTAGGTTTCAAGCCATGTGAAAACCACTTTTGTCAGAGAGCGAGCTGGTCACACTGGGTCGCATATTTAAAATCTCCAAGATTCAGTTTATTACGATTTTTGTTATTTCGGTTAATTACAAAAATTTGAAGCCAACTAACTTAAAATGCCTTTTTTCCACAGGATGCCCCTGACCGAATAAGACCCCCGAAACGCCGACTGTGTCTAATCCTGGCGCAGAGTAAGCTCCTTAACTTCGATGCCGTCCTTGGTAATGATGTTAATCAGGACTGAGTCACCGGTGTAGATGTCACGTTCAGCAGCCGAGATAAATGTGTCGGAGGCGACACTCACGGCCCGCTCCTTGGTCAGCACGGGTATCTCAGACAAATTCATGTTTTTATAGCCTATCTGGTTGTCCAGCACCGGCTGCAGAAGGGTTCCGGCAGTGCCTCCGGCACGGTAGGTGGCTCTTTCACAGTGGCCAATCGGGTCGTACGAGTAGACGACGCCCTTGCCGTCCTTGTCGATCCCGGCCAGAATGTTGGACACGTAGTACGGGAAGAAGCGGCGATTGTACATGGTGATGGAGAGCATCTGTGCCACTGCATCCGTAGTCATGGTGCGCAGATGAGTGTGCTCGTAGCTTTGCATGCGCACCTTCATCAATCCGGTCAGCGAGAGGGTGTCCGCCCAGCAACCGGTGGATCCCAGCACCGTAAGTGGCGACAGTTGAAAGAGCTTGCTTTGACTCCGGGAGTGAATGTTATAGCCGCTGCTCAGGCGAGTGTCCGCCGCAATCACCACAAAGTCATCTCCGGCAATGGCCACAATGGAGCTGTATTTATAAATTTAGGAATCAACTCCGTTTAGTTGAGGATATTTGTCCGAAACTCTCTGACCAATGCAAACTTACCCGCCGTTGGATTCGTAGGGTGAGAAATCCTGGTGCTTTACGCCGGGCACCTGGTAATCTGGGAATTGCTCAAAGCCTAGTCTGCTCATGATTGTGCTTGAATTTATCAAATAAATTGCCAAGTAAAAAAACGAACGAAATGATTTGCAAGTTTCCAGCGGCTAACCAAAATCACAAAATCAGTGTGACCGTGGGTGGGCCAAGCAAATATATCTAGTAATTTGCATGTTATCGATAGTTATCAAAATGCTTGGTATTTATATACTAATTGTTTAAATATCAAATATTAGACAATAAATTAATTTAAAAAGTCACTGAAACGTTAAATAAACATCTCTTCATGTTCCTGTACCAAACGTCAGCTCTTGTTGAAAAACAGTTCGTTTCAAACATAATCATAAAAAAAACCGATATTCTGTGGATTGAGAAAAGTAAACGAGAATTGGATAAAAATGTTCTTTTAAGTGAACAGTTTGGATATATTTAACAATCTTTGGATAAAACTAGGTCTGTCACTTTTTTAAGCAATAGCAGCAAGACCCTCGACGCGCTCTCTATGTAACTGCCCTCGGTTTTTCTCCACTAACGCCTTGACATCATAAAACCATTTTCCTAAGGGAAAAGAAAAGGCAATTTATAAGCATAAACTTATTTCTAGAGCAGACCAACTTACCAATGCTGGTGTTCTGCAGGCAATCCTTGAACGTCTGACAGCCCTCCATGCTTGATAGCACACCGAACACGGAGAGATCCGCCAAACTAGGCTGCTTGCCGCCCATGAATTTCGTATTCCGCTTTTTCAGCTCGGCGGTCCACTCATCTAGAGCGTCGTACATGTGCGATCGGACGTCGTCGCTGAGGGCGTGACGGCGCTTCAGCATCTTGGCTATCGCCCACATGGCAGATGCTCCGCAGTAGACCATCAGGTCGCGTTCCCACTTAGGGAAGTGAACGTCCCACTCGCCGGCTTGCGAGAACCACTCAAAAGTCTCCAGGGACTCGTTGATAGTCTGATAGCAGTTTGGAGATATAAGGTGCACCAGGTGGCTATCGGCCCAGGTTCTCCATTTTCGATCGGTTCTGCAAAAAAAGTAAAATGATAAATTAATGAAAATTTTTTGAAATAAAGATCTCCGTCTTGCTTACTCTTCAGTTTCCTTGGACACTCCCTTGGGCGTGTGTTCTCGGTACATCAGGAAGTATTTGTTCAATATGTCATTCTTCTTTTTGCCATCATCGTCGAAGAAAGATGTGTGCGGATAGAATTGCGCCAGCTCACCAATATCTGTGCGCTTGTCCTGCAGATAAGTGGCTATCAGGGATACGATGGCACTGGAGTCCACCATTTGTACGTATTTGCCGTCCTGCTGTCGGATAAGCACCATGGGAACCTTTTTCACCGACGACCAGCGAATGTCCTGCCGCAGGACAGCATCCACTTCGACTACCGAATACGAAATGCCCATGTAGTCAAGGAAGGCGCGCACTTTGCAACAAAAGGGACACGTCTGGAATTGAAACAGCACGATGTCCAAGCCGGAGTTGTCCTTGGGGTTGACATAACGCTTAGTTATCCGCACTCCCGCTGGTATACCGTCCAACAGTTGCGGCTTTGTCTCCTCATGTTCCTTGTGCGAGCTACCGTCCGTCCAGCGTTGGTACATAGTGTACACCGATCCGGTGGCAGCGCCCACTGTCGCGCCCAAAATGGCCAGCTTGAAGGTTCCGTTCGGCTTTTTCCTGTTGACTGCTCCGTTCTCCACCTTTTGGGCAAACTGGCGGCGAGTAAATGCCAAATCCGGATTGCGTCTACGGGTTAACAGAGCTGCGCCCCCACTTCTTGCCGGCGAAGGACGGACTCCTGCCAGGACATTGGCAGTCGCTAGCCGGAAACAAGACATGTCTCGACAACTTAGCTTTGACTAAAACTAAATATTATGCAAAAAAACCAGAGACTGATAATTTCGCCGAACGTGTTAGAGATGAACGGTATTGGAGGTCACTTATCGATTGCATATTCGACAACGGATTAAGTCTCACCAAGCGAATCCAGTAATTCAATTTATAACTTATTCTACAATATGACAAAATAAACAAAATAATGTTTTTGTGGCTTGTTTACTGTTTTTTTTTTTTTTTAAATTAACAACAAACGATTTACCAACTTTAGTTAATGTATGCAATGGTTTTGTTAGTTTAATTATAAAAACAAACATTCTTGTTTTGCTGCAGCCTGCAAGGCCTTTTCGTGTTAAGGCATGACATTGAAACTTATTTGCACACTATTTAATTTTCTTATTTTTCTACTTAGATCACGTTATCGATAGTTAACACCAGGGCTTAACGTTTCCTAACCATCTCTAACCAATACAAAAAAAAAACCAATCCATTGGACTTTTTGTAGTTGTTTTTTTGCCATCCTCGTAAACTTTGTTTATAAACAAAAGGGGCCGAAAATGTCGGCGTCCGCGGAAAATTTAGCCGCCACGCTCGATAAATACGGCGACGAGGACATATTCAGCTTGCTTATCCGTTACGGGCTCTATGTGGGCGCCCTGTTCCAGTTTGTTTGCATCTCGGCTGCAGTCCTGATGGAAAACAATCCGGATAGTAATACGGAATCCGTCGAGGTGGCAGAGCGGGAGGGCGAACCCGTGCGGGCACGTCTGCACAAGATCCGGAAGCTGGAGAAGAAAAAGCGGCGGTAGATCTATCCATCTTAACTTGTAGTTAGCATAAGTACACATTCGAATGCATTTTTTAACTTAAGAAAAACAATAAAATATAGGATATCTATCTAAAACCGGCACACAATGTTGAAGTTTAAAACATCCTACATATGTGTAAACACTGCCAAGCCTATTCTTTAAACCTTGTTATGTTTATATAGCATATGTTTTTTTAAGAAAAATCTTGAAGTGACTTTAAATCTCTAGCGGTGTATGAGGCATTTCCGTACGTGAATCACCTGCCCAGCCCTTGATCGTCGTTTTTTGGGTGAGGTTGCCGCCCTGGCACGTTTTTTTTTTTGCACATGACTCAGGGGGAAAGCTTTACGCCCCCCTTTAAAACCCCTTTCACCATTAAAAGGCCTCATTTTAGTTTGGCTGTTATCTTTAATTTGGGAATAATATAAATTATAATAATCGTATAGTTATTATGTTGCTTGCAATGTTGATTTTTTGTTTGTTTTACTTCCCGTTTAACTATGTACGTATGCATGTGTGTTGTGTGTGTGTGTGTTGAATGCTCTCTCTCTCTCTTTCGCTCTTTCTTTATATATATAAATCGGTATATATATAATAGAGTCCATGTCAAAGGATGCACAGACAATTATCACTATGAATTATTATTATGCAGTATTTAGTTTTCGTTTTTTCATGAATTTTGCGTGGAATTACATTTTTAAGTCAAAACTCATTGTGAATCTTCAGTTTTCAGTTTTTTTTGTAGGGGCGCAAGGGGGCGTGGCAGGTTTTGGGGGGTGAGGGGACCTCTCGTTTCAAAAACGCTCAAAATTCAAATACAACAACTAGTTAAATATATATCGAAAATGGGTCTAGGGAATAAGAGGGATTAGATTAGATCGACGGATGGTAAAACATACATAGTAATATAGTGAGGATCTCTAGGCCCAGAATGTCTAAATGTGGCTATGTTAAATTCGAAACTCTCTTTCGGTTTTTTTTTCGGCTTTACGCTATTTACTCGTACTTTTTTGTTGATTTCTAATTCGCTTTATCGTTTTTTATCATTATCATCAGTGTTGTTGTTGTCTAAATTATTGTTTAGTTACTCACAAGTGTAGAGTCATCATCGTCACAAAATATAGTATATATAATATATATTTGCTTTAACCCACACACAAAACATGTTCACATCCTGCAATAACCCACCATCGCTCGCTTCTGGTAACGGTCCTTTTGCCCCCTGGGACGCTGGAGCTGGATTCGGAGCTGAAGTTGGAGTCATAGTTCGGGTCCAACTAAGCCTCGGGCAGCGGCTTTAGCTCCTTTATCTGCTTGATCAAATAGGCCTTCTCGTCGTTGAACTGCTCGTCCTCAGAGCGATCCGTGTGGAAGTTGGTCAGAAAGTCGACCAGCTTCGTCTGGTTGCGCAGCAGGATGTCTAGAATGGGCTTCGGCTTGTTCGGATTCGCCACGAACACCTTAAAGACGTGAAACGCCTCGAACTGGATGTTTCGCGACTTTTCCTTGAGCATGTTCATCATCAGCTTAAGGTTTTCCGGCTCGGAAATGTAGCGCGTCATCACGGTGAAATTGTGCCGGTCAAGCAGCAGTTCCCCGAGCAGCTTCAGGCTCTGCCGCCGCGTCACATAGTTCTCCGAGTTTAGCAGCCGTTGGTAGTGCTGCGAGAAAAACTTGTCGTAGTTCGCGTCTAAGAACTCAGCGCACAGCAGCTTATGGCGCGTGAGCAGCTCCTTAAATGTGGAGAAGGCATCGCTGGCAATATCGAAGGTTGACACCTCCACGTAGCGGAAGAACTTGAAGAACTCGTCCGAGTGCAGCATGATCTTGGCCAGTGCCTCGTACCGGGCACACTCCCTTAGCATGGTGCCGGAATTCAAAGCGATTTCCGGATGCGCATCCTCGTAGCCGGCCATCAGAGTAAACAGGATCTCCGGCTTCGTGCAGATATACTCAACGGTGGGTGAACGTGTACCAATTTGTCGGCGCAACACATTGTTGAATATGAGAGCCACATGCTTTTTGCCCTCGAAGTCTATGCGATGCAGGTTCTGAATAAGCAGTAACAGCAGGTTGCTGTTGTACAGCTCCTGGGACAGCTGAGCCACCACATAGTCCGCCGGCGGCTCGGCATCACTGCTTCCGTACAACATATTCTTGATCGAGACCAGATTCTTGCTGACGTCTTCCTGCGCCTTCTCCACCTTGCGGTCGCCCGCCTCCAGGGCGTTGATCGCTTCTTTCAGCGACTTGACCAGCTCTACTGGCGACTTCTGCGACTTCCCGAACAGTGGCATTTCGCTAGCTGTCTTTTCACTCGAAATTGGATTTAGATTTGGGATTTGGTTGCGGATGTGGTTGTGGTTGCGCTGTCGATGATGTCTCGTTTCTTCGGCCAAATATCCTGCTTTTCGGGGTCTTTCAAGTGTTGATTTCAAGGTCGTTCAGAAAGCTGCCCAATTACCGACGGCGAGGACGCGGAAAACGATGCTTGGCAATATTATCACGGTGGAATATTCTATTATTATATATTATTTTCGTCTTTTTCTTGTCTTCTTCTAGGGATGAACAATTTCGATTGGCCGTCGTTTCGATGTGTCTATCGATATGTTGCAACGCACGACTGGCAAGCAAAGTGTTGTAAAGAACTGGGAAATCACCAGCCGCTAAAGTTAACATTTTATTAAAAATGATAGTTTTAAGCCACGATTTTATTTTTTCTGGTAAATCATTACAAATAATGTTTACGTCATATTTTTAAACACTTTTCAAGACAAAAAACGGAAGATTTTTTTGGTATTTTTTTAAACTACTTTCTCGAATCGATATACTCTATACCCAAATGTATTGTTTGAAATTACCATCAACGTTTTCCAGAATTAAAAAGAACCGCTTGACAAGTCATTTTGAATTCTTTAAATATCATTTTTATTTCTCATTGAAGTACTTTGTTTTTGATCCTTTTTCATTTTAGATATTATACTGCAGCGCATATCAGGCGCTTGGTGTATTATAGAAGTTACAGAAATATATGTGTATATATTGGGCAACATTTCGCTTTCGCCTTGCCAGCTGTGTTGGCCCACTTTTTTCGATTCGGGGTCACAGGAGAGGACTTTTTGTTAAAGGAAAGGCAATATTGTATGCACATCAATACTTTTAATTACATATGTCTGTAGGTTTGACCGCCCTGCATATTGTAACAGGCTGCCCATCGCCTTACTTTTTTGTTTTTTCGTTTATATTGAAATAAATTTATTTGGTTTTCGTTTTTTTTTTATGTGATTTTTGTTTACGTATAAAAGTTGTTTAAAATCTTGAAAATATCAGATAATAATTACAATTGGATGTGTAATACGTCTTAAAAGCATTTCGATGCGCTTCGTACTCGAACGAACATAGATTAAACATAAATCAATTTAGTCTTTGCCACTAAACATATCAATTTGAGTAGTAGTAGTTGTTGTTTATCAGTTAATAATAATATCTTTGGGCTTTGCTACTGTGTATGTAATGGTTACGCCGAGTACATATAGATCATGATCATAGATATATATGCTGAGGGGCCTAAAACACACGATCGAATTGAAGTCGCGCCTACGCATTCCGAAGAAGTGTCTCAAGTTCCGCCGTTTCCGTTTCCGTTTTTCTCAAAGGGGGAGTTTTGTGGTCGGTAAATGTATAATATAATATCTTTATCTTTTTTTTTTTATCTTGTAGAAGTATGTAAATGTATAGGTATAATAAAACATTTTACGACTAGTATATGTAAATATATGTATGTATATGTATATATGCATTGCGTTTTCTTTGTAATTACTAAGTTTATTGAGATATTCTATGAATATATTTCCTTTCATTCTTAAGCCATGTCTTGTGTCTTTCTATATAAAACAAACGAAGCGCGATAACGTTTGCTGGGAGTAAGGGAAAAGGGGGGCGGTTGGAAAGGGGTTGAGTGGGTGGGAGGAGCGGTTTCCTTACTTTACATTTAAAAAACAAGGATCCTCCCGCGAGACCTTACCCAAAATTTGCTTTGCAACTCATTGTTTACTGTTTTCATGCTTTGTTTTTTCTTGTGTTGTGTTTCTGTTTTCTCTGTTTTTTTTTGCTTTTTTTTTTGTTCTGGAAGCGTTCGTCGGGGCTCTGCACAGATCTGACTAGATATATATGGGTATATATAATAGAAGCTACTACTACATGCTACCAAGTACGATACATAGGTGTCCTCCTCCGAATTTTAGTGGCCGCTGCTGCTGCTGCTGCTGCTACTCTAGTTCTTCCTTGTCTTCTTCTTCGCTGGGCTTGAAGTTTCGTTTCCTGTTTTCCTGTTTCCGCTTACCGGCTCCGCTTCCGTTTCCGTTTCCGTTACCGCTTCCACGGGGGATGGTGTGGTTGGATGATCAGTTGAGGGTCTGCAGATCACTTGCGCTTGATGAAGTTGCCCTCGGCATCCAGCCAGATGCCCGGATGTTGATCGGGCGCGTCCATCCCCCGTCTTATCATTTACCTGTTGAGCGCATTCGAGATCTGGCGCAGCGACTGGCCCACCTCGGCCACCAGGCGCTCGTTGTCCTGCACGTTCTTGCTGCCGGCGGAGCGCAGGTGGCGCGACTGCGCCTCCACCCGCGTGACCAGCTCCCGGAATTGGAACTTCGAGTGCGGCGGCATCGCACCGTTTTCCGCAAAGTTCACGCAAGAGTTTTGCAGGATGTTCAGCTTGTCGCTGAGCTGCAGCCACTGCGAACCGGCGATGGCGTTCACCGGATGCTTCAGCGATCCCTCCAGCAGGCCGACCAGCTCGAGGATGCTCTCCCGCGTGATCTGGGTGGAGCTGGCCGAACCGGAACTGTTGGGCTCGGCCAGTTTGGCTATCGGCGTGGCGTAGATGGTCAACTTGGTGGGCTTGTGCGGCACCGCTGGCTTCTGCTGGATCTGCGGCTTCTGTTCGTACAGGGATTGGGTCATGTCAGCAGTGACTCCTCCTCCGCCTCTTCCTTCTACGCCGCTGCCATGGCATCCGGATCCCTCCTGCTGCTGCGACGACGACAACTGCTCCTCGTCATCTGTGAAGAGTTGCGTTGAATGAGAGGTTTTTATTGTTGGGTTGCCGGCCTGCTGCCTGCTGATGGTGGTGGTGGTGGTGCAATCTCTAGTTGAGGTGCTAGTGGTGGATGTGGTGGAGTTGGAGGTGGTGGTGCAGTTCGGGGGCGGTGGTGGTGGGGCTGCCGGCGGTGGCTTGTTGCCCGGCTTAGTGGTGCTAACCGGTATGGATTTCATTCCATACTTGGGCGACAGCTGGGCATTCGGTGTTCCACCGCCATTAACCACCGATGGCTGCTGATGCTGCTGCTGCTGATGCTGGAGGATCGAGCTGCTAGCATAATCCGGCGCCGGCGGTTGCTGCTCCCACAGTTTCTTTAAGCTATTAATACTACCTGTGCTCCGTCGCTTGCCGAGATCGCCGCCATCGCTGCCCGCTGCTGCTGCTGCTCCCGTCGTCGTCTCCGGCGGCTCCACATTCGAGTTGGTCACATCGATTTTAATTTCAGTCTTTTGCATGGCCTGGGTGAACTTCTTGCTGCTGCCGCCGTCCTCCTTCCGGTTCAGGGTTCCCGTGGTATTGCAGTTGGCATTGTTTGCCAGAGATTGCGATCCTGCAACTGGTGCAACTGGAGCGGGAGCTGTTGGCTCCTTCTCCTTGTTGTCCACCCGACGCAGATGGGCCTTGAAGTCGATTATATTGCTGGCCGGCTCCGCCTTGGCCATTGGCGGGCTCATCTTCTTGGGCTCCACCTTCTTGAGCTGCGCCTTGAACCCTGATCCTGCCCCAGATCCCGACCCGGAACCATTCCCATTGGTGAGCTTCTGTTGCTGCTGCTGCTGCTGTTGGGTCTGTTGCTTGGGCAGATTCATGCTCTCGGCCAGTTCGGTGACCAGCAGGGAAACAGGATCCACAGCTCGATCGATCATTCCCGATCCGTTGGCCAAATGGGGAGCTGCGGATGCAGGAGCACTCTCCTTGCCGGCGGCCTTGATCTCGGTGATCAGCTTCTCCTTGAGATCCTCGGGCGGACTGCCCAGCGAGCTGCAGGAGTCGGTGGATGGCTCACGCTTCCTCAGCGACACTCCGAACCTCGAACTGGCCTCCTCCACACTGGGAGCCGTGTTGCTCACATCGTTGTGGCTGCTGTCGTTGTTGTTCGCCCCATTGCCGTTGCTGATGTTCCCATTGTTATTGGGCAGCTGGGCGTGCAGATGCTGCTGGATGGCCTGGACAGCGCTCTCGGGCGCCGGCGGCGGTGGCGGTGGTGTCCCCTCGAACTCCTCCGGCGGCGGCGGCAAGTCCAGTGGCGGCGGTGGGAACTCCAGATTGGCTAGCGCCGGCTGGACCGAAGAACCCACTGCAGAACCACCACTGCGCTTGGGTGAACTGCTTGAACCGCCGGCCCGGAAGGAGGAGAAGGTCATCATGGTGCCCTCGGTGGTGGTGCGATGGCGCTGCAGCTTATTTAAACTGGCTGCAGCATTGTTTTGCATGGTCACGCCACCGGACGAATTGCTCCGGATCATCTGCTGCGGCGGAATCGGGCTGGTCTTCGGATTGATCCTGGCGGCGGCCGGCGGAGTGGCATGTCCATTGGCTGGCGGCGGAACGGGTGCACTGGCCGGCGGAGCTGGTGCCACATCGCCACTGTCCTCCAGACTATCGAGATACGCACCGATCCTGGCCACCTTGGGCAGGGTGCCATAGCGATTCACCACCCGCTTGACGTTCATCACCTCCAGAGCGCCAACTGTGATGGGATGGGCACTGCTGGTCAGCACTCCATTATTGCCATGATTCAGTTGAGCTGCCGGCGGTGCTGGAGGATTGGCAGTCTGCTGCTGCTGCTGGGAGCGCTTGCTCTGCCGGGTCTCCAGACCACGGTTGCCCATCACGGGTGTGCCAGTTGGACGCTTGAAGGAGCTGTGCTGCTGGGAGGATCGCGGTCCAATACCTCCACCGCCACCGCCGCCATGGAGCGAGTGCTGCATCTTATTGACGGCAGGAGCGGCAATCATTTGGCTCTGTCCCTGCTCCAGACTGTCGCCGGTGGCATCTGTGTCCGGATCGGCTGTCGGATCGGTTTCCGAGTCGTACCGCTGTGTCAAACTGTTAATATCGCGGGCCAATCCTAGTAAGAATAGAATAGTAGAGAAATATGATTTAATTTGGGTTTAGTGTTGGAAAGGTATTAAACAATGCTTCGTGCCGGGTGCTTGATGCTGGGTTTTAATGCTGGTCAGTGATGGAAAGACCATTTTAAAGTCGTTATTAATAAACACAAATTAGGGTTAAATAAATGAATGTTGCAAGTACCGATCACAGGTACTTTCCATCACTGGACATGGTTGGACATGGGTTAATCCTGACCAGAGTCTTGTGGTGTGTATGTGTGCGTTGATGTTTGTCGAGCGGGTAAAACTAAAAACACCAAAGTATTACTCTTAACGAAGAACAAAGGGCTTGAATGCCTTGTATAACCTTGAGAGAATTTGATAAATGCGTTTTTTAAAACCTGTCGTTTGAATGGACCGATGGTATAAATCCAAAATGATTCATACAAAACTCTTTTTAGATTATAAAATTGATTTAATAAATAAGTTTGAAAATGAACAAGTAATAAAAGCATATAAAAACTAAAACATTATTAACCGAATTCAAATATTAATGATAAAATAAAATCTCTTTCAAGGATATACACCAAATTAAAAATAATAACACAAATAACTTAATGTTAACAGGCACCAAAATTAATACAAACAAAGGAATACAAAGAATATAAACTAAGTGAAAGATGGTTAGAGAATGTCTTCTGAAAAATGTTAATAATAAATAAGAGAGTAAACAGAAAAGGAAGTAAAATTAGGAAATCATCGACACAAAATCAACATTACAACTAAAATTTAGAAAATTGCTAGTGCGGAACCAATTTAGTTCCACAATAAACAATCAATTAATACAGAAACTTAAGCCAATAACAAACAAACCATTAATAATAAAACATAGAAACAAGAAACATATAACATAGGAACCAAAAGTAAACGTAAAGAATTTTTGAATTGGAGTTTTGTTTTCACTTTGGACTCCGTTGAGAAAATACCTCGAAATAGGATGTCGTAAAGAAAACTACTGCACGAGGACGATTTCTTAATGGAATACTGTTGTTGTTTCTGTTGTTGTTGTTGTTGTTGATGTTGTTGTTTTTGATGTACTGGAAGTTGTACGGATTGTTGTTGTTGTTGTACGGACTGTTGTTGTTGTTGTTGTGTACGTATTTGGTGTGTGGTGTGATGGGTTGGAATTTGGGTCTTGAAATTTCTAGAGAGGGTCTGGCTGAAATAGTTGGCGGGTTTCAATTTGTGTATACCATTCGTGCTGAGGTCGTCGATGAAGTTGCATCGTGCGGTGGCAGGATCCTCCTCGCGATAAGTCGAGTCCCGACTGCTCGAGAGCAGACTAAAAAGAATAGGAGAAACCATTGATTAGGCATTGGGTTTGTTTCAAACAAGAAGTTTAAAAAACAGAGATACAAAAAGTAATTTCACTTCAAGCATAAAAATAAGATGAAGTTCTACCCTACTAATACTTTTATTCCAAATTAAACAGAATCCATTTACTATGGTATATTTACTTAAATCTATGTGATAGGTAAAAGTATCCTGTAACTATATATGCATTTATTAATGTCAACCTCTGGATAACTATCAAATTAATAACCGATTGAACTTACATAAAATTCAAATAATCTGTGAGGCCCATGATAAATTTAAAAATATTATTTATCAATAAACTCAACTAGTTACTCAAGAAATCTAATAAATTTTAAGGAAGTTTCTCATATACATATGAAATAACTGATAATATTTCCTGTTTCAGCTACTGTTCTTGAACTCCTGGTCTCACCTGGTTCGCTTGGGTGGTGCGGGTGCCTGTTTGCCCTGCTTGTTGGTGGTGCGGCGCATCTGGACATTGCCCTTTCCCTGGCTGGAGAAGGTGCTCAGCTTGGTGGAAGTGGAGCCAGTTTCTGCGGGATAATGGTATATACTTTAGTCAGGAATTCATCTGGAAATAAGGCACGGATGGCACTCACCTGACATGGGCGTGCTGGCCTGCTGCTGGTGAGGATCGCTGTGGTGGGCATTCGGCGTGAGGGACTGTCCGCCGGGCAGACCCTTCTTCACCATCTGCGGTGTGAGACTGAGCGAGGCGGTGGCCGAGGATGAGGAAGCGCAGTTGCTGAGATTGGCCGCCGTTGAGATTGTGGCTGTGGTGGTGGCCACACCAACCCCACCGCCACCCGATGTGCTGCTCGAAGGAACTGCGGAGCTGCTAGCGCTGACTGTCGCTGACTGATTGGCGTTCAGCTGCTTCTCGACCGCTTCGGTGATGGACGATTCCTGCGGAGGAGCGGAGAAGGAGAGATGGGCACCATGTGGCTCATTATTGCTATCACTAATTTCTGCTGCACCCTCGATCTCGATCTCGATTTCGATCTCGAGCGATCAGAGCACGTCGACGAGGTGGAGCTGGTGGTGGCGGTGCCTGTGGCTATGGCTATGGCTATGACTATGACTATTCGTATTCCTATTCCTATGGCTATTGCTATGGCTATGGCTATGGACGCTGCCGCTGTTCTGCTGCTGCTGCAGCTGATCGTTGAGATCCTGCTCATCATCATCGTCGCCATCGTAGTCACTCGCCTCATCGCCATCGCCAGCATCGTCGCGATCGTCGTGATCCTCATCGTGATCATCGTCGTCATCGTCATCATCATAATCATCATCATCATCCCACACCTCGACGTCACCCACCTGAAACATGTGCTCCAGCGCATGGTGTATGCTCTTGAACGTGGGCCTATCGGCAGCATCCCACTGCCAGCACTGGCGCATCAGGTCGTACACCTCCGGCGGACAGCCCGGCGGTCGCTCCATGCGATAGCCCTTCTCCAGCTTGTGATAGACGTCCGTTAGATCGATGCCCGGATATGGGGACATCCCGTACGTGGCGATCTCCCACAGCAGCACCCCGAAGGCCCACACATCAGACTTGGTGCTGAACTTGTTGTACGCCAGTCCCTCCGGCGCCGTCCACTTGATGGGGAACTTGGCTCCAGCGTGCGCTGTGTATGTGTCGTCGCGCATCAGACGCGCCAGTCCGAAGTCCGCCACCTTCACAAGCTTATTGTCGCCCACGAGGCAATTGCGGGCTGCGAGATCGCGATGGATGTAGTTGCGCGACTCCAGGTAGCTCATTCCGGACGCAATCTGCGTGGCCATGTAGAGCAGGGCCACCGCATCCAGGGTTTCCCGGCCGGCGGAGCGCAGGAAGTCCAGCAGATTGCCGTGCGACATGAACTCGGTGATGATGTAGAACGGAGGTTCGCGGGTGCAAACACCTGAGGAAAACAAACAGAAGTTAATCAGTTTGCTGTGCGAAAGGAACTCCAAGATATAACCCACCTATGAGCTGCACTAGATTCGGGTGCTTCATCTCCTTCATGATGGCCGCCTCTTCGAGGAAGTCCTTCAGCGCCATCGTGTCCTCTTTGAGCGTTTTGACAGCCACCGTATTGCCGTAGCGCTTCCACACGGCCTCGTACACCTCGCCATACTGCCCACCGCCCAGTTTGTGCTTCATCATGATATCGGTGCGGCAGATCTCCCACTCATCCGGCTCGGGACTCAGCGGGAAGACGGTGGGCTTGTTCTGCTTGGGCGCCGGATACAGGAGCGGAGTAATCAGTCCGTGGCCCTCGTGTGGAACACTGTGGTGGTGCACCAGTTCGGCGAGAGTGTTGAACTTGGCCTCCTGGGTGACGAAGACCTTGCCATCAGGATCCTCCGAGATGCGATAGTGATAGACGCGACCCTCGTATCTGATTGAAAGGGGGGACATATTTTAATTAATTTATTAATTCCAAGAAGGTAATTACACCCACCTGAGACTGATGCTTCGCTGGCCGGGTGAGCTCTCACTTTCGCGCACCAGGAAGCTCCCATTGATCCCGGAACTCAGCAGATACTCGGCTGCATTGCGTGAGATGGGTCCATGGTACCAGGAGTGCTTCTCCAGCGAATTGAGCGGCGTCACATAGTTGGAGGGCACCCAGCCCACATTCCCGGAATCCGAGTGCGCCTCGCACCACTCGCCCGACTTGTTGTAGCTCAGGATGCGCACCTGCTCGCCCTTCTTCAGGCTCAGCTGGTTCTCCCCGCCCGCCTGGAAATCGTACAGCGCCACAAACAACTGCGGGTCATCCTCCTCGGGTCCGGGGGCCAGTAGGTTCTCCTTGGAGGTCCACCGGTGGGCGGACTCGAAAACCGACGTTGTTGAGCTGTGATTGCCGCCCAGCGAGGAGCCTTGCAGCCCCAGTCCCCCGGAGTCCTGCTGGTGCTCCGCCGCATCCGCCAGGAGAGATGCCGCCGTACTGCCGGCCGGAATGTGAGGTAATGGACGAGACTGCAGCAGCGCTTCTGCAAGGTTAAGATATGCAAAATATTCTTATTAGACAAACTATCTCACATAAAACAATCTTAAGGTTCATATAATATTTTATCTACTTGAAAAACCCTTGTGGTTTTGCTTTCAATGGGTTTTAAATATAATATTTTGTTTACGGCATCACCAGAGTATTTATTTCATTTTTCCACGACTAACCGCAGAGCGTTTTACTATTGTATAAGAAAATCTAAGAGTCCAAATCTTTGCCATAGCATTTACCATTGTTTTTATTAATGTCAAAATTAAGTGGCTTTCATGGTCTTAATTGCCATCTCAAGTATGTATATTAAAATTAAACGGTGGCTAGTTATAAAATGCACCTGAATAGATTTTTTAAAGATTTTTAAAAGGGGTATATCAAAGAATCTTTAATGTTCTCATTTCAAAACCATGTTTGCTTCGGTGTGGTAAGAGAATACAATGCAGGTAAACCCGTTTCTCTTCCGTGGAATGCGGGCAATTTGTGGAGCAAGTGCTGGCCACCGGGGAAACCGGGCTGCAGCTCTCTGTTCCATTCGGGGAATGGAATAAATTAAGCATTAAGCGGAATAAAATTACACAAATCTCTGTCTGCCAGCGGTGGACCAGGAGTCCCTCCACTAAACATTTCATTGTGGGAAGTTCTAACTGATTGTCGGTCGGTTCCGATCTATCTTTCTGCATCCCACAATATCTACTTAACTGGGTATCCACAAGTGAAATGTTCCCTCTATTTGTAGTTAATTCTGTGGAATGCATTCCAGCAGAGATAACATTTTATAGGTTTATGGATTCAAAGTTTTCTGTTTAATTAAATTATGAATGATAAGGTTTTATTTCGTTTTGTAATTGCAAAATATCAAATTCTAACTTAAATGCTCATCTTTAATTAAGGAGTATCTGCAGTTTTGTATCCCCATTGCAATACCCATTTCTTTTATAAAGTGCTTCTAAAGAATTTTGCAATCCTTTTAAACTTGGAGTTTCGCTTGATGGATTGTGCAAACTTCTCGGCTCTAAAAAAAACCCGTCCGAGTCTGGCTTCTATAATAGGGTACTCTTTGGAATTAAACCAGACTTTCGCTTCAATGTCCCATTGAAATAATTGTACAAATTTACATTTTTCCCATTTTTCTTTTTATGCGCGCGAGCTTCGTTTGACCAAAGCAAACACTTCCGCTGCATAAACATTTCCCATTTTCATGGGCACAATTGTGCATAAATTTGGGTGAAGTGGAAGTCATTCGGAAACCGGGAATCTTTGGTTTGCGGTCGGTGTGCTAAGCAGTAATAAACCGATCCAAATCATATTGTAACGCATTTGAGAAGGGTTCCCCATCGCTCACACAATGTTCCCTTTAATTTATGCGCGCGAGACAGGAAATATTAATAGCGAATAATAGGTGTGGAGTGGGTTTTTGAGAATAAAAGGGAATATGGGGAATATAGGGACAGATTAGAGCGGAAATGTACCGTTCTCCAGTGGTGGTCTCTATATCTAAACCACCCATTCCCCTTCGAATATTAGCCGCTGACAATATACTCGTACACCCACTTGATATGCAGTCCAATTTTAGAGTTCGTTTTCGGAATGGAGTGACTCATGTGGGGATTTGTTTTACGGGGTGTGAGGATCGAGAATACTTTGATATTGACTCAGTTATTTTAGGATTAATCAATGAAGACTCGTTAGATGAGTCAGCATTGAATCTTGCATAGAGCTTAATTATTATAATTATTATTACATTGCTTTAGCTAGCTAATCTCGTCGACCTAAAGACTTTTAAAATACTAGATAACTTTCCTTGGAATAATAACTAATATGACCCATTTATGCAAGATTGCTTCGGAACCTTTCATTGAATAAAGTTTATGTACTATGTATGTATGTAAAATCAGCTTTGAGCAATATATTTTGAAATTCAATTTTTTTTCAAGTTATAACTAAATTTTTTCCCATCAAAAATACTGCTACAATGAACAACGAAATTCTCTAAAAAATCGTACAATCATCTCATGGGAGCTGCTCTTTAATTAATAAGAATGACACTTCCTATGTGGACTTTTACATCGGTGTTCTGGTTTTTGGTTGGATTGTAGAGGTTCTTGTGGTTGTTACCTAAGTTCATGTGATATTTGCCTGGATGGCCGCGAAAAGAGCTGTGCTTGGTACCTGCAGAAACGAAAGAAACAGAGAGATTTTGTGTGAGAGACAGTTTGTCAGCTGGTCAACTGGAGAGTCTATGAATCTATGGATATGGCAGGCAGTTTTTTGATGTTATCATCTAATAACGATGGGCGGCAAATGCGATGAACTACAATGGATGGCCGGTTGGTGCTCGGCTCCAAACCAAAGTGGTTACCAACAAAATAAAAAGGAAACAAAATTAAATACATCTATCTTAGTCATAACTCTAGGTAAGTGATATAAAAAAAAAAAAAAACAAGACATATACAGCGATATATTTACAGTTAGCGGATGGATGACATCAAACGCGGAGAGGCATTAGAGAATTAGAGGGTCTTGCAACCGCAGAAAGGCCAATTAGCGACCCGGCCAGAACAAGAAGAAGAGTAATAACAACAGCAGCAGCCAGATGATGGCTTCAGTAAGTGCTGTAATTTCTCAGCCGAGTGAAAAGTATCTCAGCGATTCTGGAAAACCGAACATGTCAGTGTGTGTACACTTAGATTTAAAAAGACCCAATGTAAAAGTTGTTTCGAGCAAAACTAATTAGGAGATTGTTTTACCATTCATCGGTTAATTTTTAAGTCTTTTATATCTTTTGTAAAAAAAAAACTGATACAAGTAAAAAAAATATATAAATACTTTTAAGTTTCATTCTTAGCTTAAAGCAAGGTCATGATTAATTTTAATTACAGAAAGATATACAAGAATAAGCTTTATGAAACTGTTTGGCATTTTCTTCAAGTAGTAATTGTTTTTTTTTTTTTTGAGTGTGACACGCCCCCTAGACATTTGACAAAAAAAGAAAAGGGGGAGTGTGGAAAAAGACGGAGAACGTAGAAATATATGCCCCATTCAGTGAGCTTAAGCTGCTGCTCAAGCGGAATGGGTCCAATGAACTTTAAAGTCACAAAAATTCAACTCATGTCGGAAGAGCAGCGAAAGAGTTGGGGATATACTATATGGTATATATAGTAGATAAAGAGAGAGAGAGAGAGATGGCTATAGAGAGACATGTCTCAAGCCATGCACATCCGCCATCTAACAACTGCTTATGCAGGTTATTAGCGTGAATTTGGAGCATCTCGAGCTGAGGGCTGATTACGAGTGAAATGATGCGCGGTGCCGCTTCTCCACCCACTGCAACCCCCACTCAGACCGCCCAACCATCCAACCAACTACTCAAAGACTTAACGGTAAGTGTGTTGAGTAAGCACAGATTGAAATCAGCCGCATCAGCAGCTGCAGATGGCAGTCCCCTTATAAATGTTACTATGCTGAATAAAAACGCAGGGATTTCCCAAAAATAATATTTTCTTAAATGCAGAAAAAAAGTTAAAAGCTTTTAAAGCCATATTTAACATTTAAAAGTAGAAATAAAATATTTAAATACGAAATTAATGTTTTCATTAAATAGTTTAATCATTTAAACGTTTTTATAAAACCTAATAAGAGAATGTTCAAAAATATGTAACTTGTTAATATCAGTACTTGTTAGTTTTACTATTTTACTTTAAAAAAAAATATAATTATATATGCAATATAATCATATATGCAATATAATCATATTGTAAGGCAAGTTCTTTTCACCGTAGCCCTAGATTTCTAAGACCCATTCAACTTGTTTTTGTTCCACTGTTACGATACAAAACTATACAAGTGACTATATATAGCCTGCATTGAGTATTGAAAAGGTTTTTATTATAGCCTTGTCTCTAACAGTTACACATTGCGAATAGTCTCTTCAGATTTCCTCAGAATCTGTCCTTTGTTTGATGGCCTGTCCTTGTCCATCGAGCATTAAACTTGATGTGTCTGCCATTTATTATCTAAAGATAAAATGCATGTGTTTCTTCTTTGTCTTATTTTTTATATCTGGCCAAATCGAGCTTCAATGTGTGATTTATTGCACTGCATTTTCAACTGCTTATCATTATTTCATTCGCTCAGTCTGTCAACCATTCACACAATTCATTCATTCACTTGTTCTGTATCTTTGATTTTTGTGGCTTTTTCTGTTCTGCTTCTTTTTTAGCTCATTGCATTTCAGCACGTTTTTCTTTAATTCTTAGTGTTTTTTTTTTTTTACTCTATTTTAGCTTTGTTTTTCCTACGTATTTTTGTGTTTTCAGCTCAAGGGCTTTTGTGTCTTAACCTGGCAGGGATTTTCAGTTGGCCTCGGTCTCGTCTCCTCTTTTCCATAACCCCTTTTACTTTACTTGTCGGATTTCATTCACATTTTGCCTTTGGCCTTTTGGCCAGACATCCAGACGTATATAAGTATGTATAGTAACTGCATATATACTGTAGAAGGGGCAGGGGGCGTGGCCAGTCAACAGTAATAAACTTTTACGGTGTAAATTTAATTAGTCATTTCTCTGGCTTCCGTTGCAAAGTAGGGAAATGGAAAGGAAAAAAGGGGCAAAATCTGAAGGCTTTGGTTTGAAATTGTTGTACCTTTAGAGAACTTTTCAATTTGATTAACCAAAGGGCAACATTTAAACACGCAGTGAACTTTAACAGGTTTATATTAAAAGCAATCAAACAGCTAAAATAGGAATGAAAAAATAGATACTCTTGTTATATAATAATAAATGCGCATTTAACTTGAAATAAAACAGGCAAAGACTCCTTTCTCTGCATGTAAAATAAAATAACAAGAAAACAATGCATTTGCTCAACTTTTAATGGGCTAATGATAACTTTTGAAGCGGAACCTTTCAACGGAACTCGAGATCATTAAGCTGGCAGACCCGATTAGAGCAGCAAATACGCCCCTAAGGGAAATAGAAACCGAAGCTAGTTAGGGAAACATAAAGAAATTAACCTAGAAAGCAAAGTTTTCCCCGCTCAACTTTTGAGCACAACATATGGTTATACTATATATTATATCTGGAAATTTAAGTTTCCCGTGTAATTTCCCCTTTTTGACATGAGAAAAACGCAACTGGTAAGTGACAGGGCAAACACAAAAGTTGTAGGAACTGCAGGAAAAAAATAAAAAATATGCGAAAGAATTTAATTTGTTTTTTTTCCCCCTGGCACCTCGAGGGTTGGGATCAAGTTCCTCCCCTTTGCATCCAAGTGCGAAAAAATGTTGTGCGAAAAAACTACAAGGCAGCGAAAGAGATGGAAAATTGCTAAAGTGAAATGGAAGAAGAAGCGGGAACAAAAGGAAAGTTATGTAAAGGCAAAGAGCCAAGGGGTCCAAGGATCTAGGGAGTGCCAGGAGGTGCAGAGGTGGCCAGGACTTGGCCCTGCACTTGGCCAAAGGAATAATGAAAAAATGTTAAATATAAAATCCACCCTTGGCTGACAAAGGCAACTCCTCTACTCCGCGCACGACGAACCCCTCGACTTTCCCCTTTGGCCACGGGCAATTTTACCACTTTTCTAAGGATTCCGCACTCAAGGCTCACTAGTCAGGCATAAGGCCGGGTCCACGGGGAAAAGGACCAAAGTCAAGGGCTGCATGCCAGCTAATGTGACGTCTGACGCAGCAGTCGATCTCATCTACACTCTAAAATAAATTTAAAAGCGGTTTTCCACTTTAAATTGCTAATAAAATGGATACAAGTGACATTTTTTTATGCCGCAATTTAATTTAAAAAGTGGCTAAAAAACTTCTCATAGTTTATGCTTCAAATCCTCAAACTAAGTGGCAATTATTAGTAACATTAAAGTAATAAATCAAGTTATTAGATGAATATGAGTCGAAGCCTCGAATTCCATTTTAAAAGATTATTATTTTTAATTCAATATTTAACTTTTATTTATATTATGATATTTATAACAAAATTCATTATTTTTTCTGAGTGCACCCTCTCGCAATCCCCTCGGGCCTGCATATGCCAAGAACTTGATGGAATTCAAGTGAGTGCAATAAATACATATTAAAGTGAGACAGAGGGAGCAAAAAAATAGAGGTGGTACAAAAATCAATAATGAAAACCTTTCCGCCACAACCGAGCGATGAGTGTCATCCATAAAATCGCATCACCGCCAGCAAATTAATTGAATGCCAGCATCCACATCCCAGCCCACAAGAGAACTGAAAATGCAGGACCAGGGACCCGGGGAAAGTGGTGGCGATGAAAGGGATAAGGTGAAGGACAAATGCTGCGACAAGCCACATGAAAGGGCGGATCCTGTGCGGCAGGATACGAAGATTCAATTACCCTCGAAATTACCATGAAATCTTAATAAATGTAATGAATTTCCATAATGACAGACTTGCACGAAAAGTGTTAAAAGGCTTACCCGATCTTGAACTTAAATATATAAATTAACCACCTTTCTTGTTAAAAAGTAAAGGTAAAAATGGTAAATTGCATCTTTGAACTTTTGCTAATTAAGGTTACTACTTTTGTTACTTTTAACATTCAATTAGAGCTCTTAAATATGATTATGATTGATGATGTCTCGCCCTTATACATCAATTTATTACAGGGTACAGGGCACAGGTTTGTGGTATTATAAAAATGGTAGCAACTTTGTGGAGAATGTCCTATCGATCCAAGTGCTCCTGAATGTGCACGGCTACTGTCCTTGCTGCAAAGTTCACAAAGCTGCTACAAATTTGCTTTTGAATGGGTTTCTCTGAAGGGCAGGGGAAAGTTTCTTTCAAAGTTATCTCGAGCGGAATCTGGTCGCTTGATATCGGGCAACTTTATCAATTACAGTCTGCAATGGTTCACAGGAAAAATCACCCATTCTCCCAGCGATGGTATCCATTATCACGTGACCAAGAGACCCTTGGTCCGCCGACTCCATTGTCTAGTGTGAATGAAATTGACTTTTAATTGTCGACGATGACCAGAAAGCAAACAAAACAAGGCACAAAAACCATTGGCATGCACAATTTGTGTGTGGCTATGCAAATGACAAACAGAACGAGCCGAAAGAGCGGAGGGAAAAAATAGCTAATACGCCGCGTTGGCCAAAGAGTCGGAATCCAATTGCGAGTGTCGTCGAGCGAGTGACTC